AATAGTATAAAAGAAATAAAAAAAATAAATCATCATCATCAATTCATATATATATATATATATATATACAGTACCTGTCAAAAGTTTGGAAACATTCATGTTTTTAATGTTTTTGAAAGTAGTCTTAATCTCACCAAGCCTGCATTTATTTGATACAGTTAAAAACTGCAATACTGTGAAATATTATTACAATTTAAATTAAGTAGTTTCTTATTTAATATTAAAGGAGTAGTTCACTTTGAAAGAAAACTTTTGCTGATAATTTACTCACCCCCATATCATCCAAGATGTCCATGTCTTTCTTTCTTCAGTCGAAAAGAAATTCAGGTTTTTGATGAAAATATTCCAGGATTTTTCTCCATATAATGGACTTCAATGGGGTCCAAACGGTTCAACGTCCAAAAGGGAGTTTCAGTGCAAACAAGGCAAGCATTTGAGCTTATAAAACTTAAACTTTATTTTTTTAATGAGTGATCATTTCACTTGATAAGACCCTTCCCAAGTGGGTTGGTTCCCAGTAATGTGCAATCCTGGAATGTTTTCATCAAAAACCTTAATTTCTTTTCGACTGAAGAAATAATGACATGGATATCTTGGATGACATGGGGGTGAGTAAATTATCAGCAAAGGTTTTTTTTTTAAATGTGAACTACTCCTTTAAATTTAATTTTATTAAATTAAAAAAAAAGGCAGTAAAGACATTTAATAATTCTATTATTTAAATAAAAAAATGTTCTTTTTAACTTTCTATTAATCAAATAATCATGAAAAATATTTCCACAAAAATATTAAGCTGCACAACTGTGTTTAATATTAATAATAAGAAATGTTTCTTGAGCAAATCATCATAGATTGATTTCTGAAGGATCAGTGACACTGAAGACTGGAGTAATGATGCTGGAAATTCAGCTTTGATCACAGGAATAAATTATATTTTAAAAATATATTACAGAAAATATATACCAGAAACCACTAACTTTAAATTGTAGTAACATTTCACAGTATTGCTGATTTTACTGTATTTCTGATCAAATAAATGCAGCCTTGGTGAGATTAAGAGACTACTTTCAATAACATTAAACAAAACAAAAAGAAATGCAAAAATACGTCACCCGTCTCTCTGGGTGGAAGAGAAGAGATGGAAGAAAGAAGGAAATAGAACATGGAAATTTTTTATCATGCTGAATATGAAGAGAACAGTTGAGACTAATAGTCAAAACTGTTCACATTGAAGTATTTCTCCTGTGCATTATGATAATTCTTTGGACAGTGTGAGAGGCTGATTGTACAGAAAAAAAAGAAGAAGAAAAGCGTCTGCCAAATGCATAAATGTACATGTAAAAAAAAAAAGAATAGGATCTTTACATTTTTTGCAAGTGCTGCTTGCACATGCAAACTCTGACACCATGTTGCTGGATGAGTTACACACACACACACACAAGTTTCATGCGGGTGAAGGTTTTGTTCAGATCACTAACCCCAAGCGTGACCAACATAATAGTGACGCTTGCCTCATTTGTTAACATTATACATTTGTCAACATGAAATGACAAAGAAAAAGTGTTTCTTAATCTTAGTGAATTTCATTTTCAACATTTACTAATGCAATTTTAAAGTCAAAGTTATTAAATGGACCTCAAACATTAATTAATTAGTTATAAATACCTGGTAAAACACTTTACAATAAGGTTCATTAGTTAACTTAACTAACAATGAGTAATACATTTGTTACAGTAGACTATTTCCTATTATTTGTTAATGTTAGTTAATAAAAATCCAGCTGTTCATTGTTTGTTCATGTTGTTCACAGTGCATTAACTAACGTTAACAGATGCAACCTTTGATTTTAACGACATATTAGTCATATTAACTTAATATTAAGACTAATTAAGGCTGTAAAACCATTGCTCATTGTTAACGCATTAATATAACTTATGGGAGCTTATTGTAAAGTGTTCCCGAAGAAATCCAAATCCAGCATTAGCAGAAAGTTCACGAGAATTAGAGATGAAAACACCATACTCATTAAGTAATCGCCGCTTTAAGTGTTTAGCGATAACCACCACAATCCAACACACAAAGCACTGTTGCAGTTGCTTTGCACGTTTCCTTCTGTGGCCGTCAGCCCACACATTCAAATGTATCATACCTCTTCCTCACAGATATATGCCCACAGACAGGGAGTTTCCTGAAGCCAGCGGCCCGGGCTCAAGGAAGACCTGTTTCTAGCGCCGCTGAGGACACCATCCATCCGGCAGGACCACCAACAATAGACGCATTGTTCTGCTTGTCTGCAAGAAAACACGGACAACCATTGTTTTATTGTGTAATGTTACCTGTGATTCGATAAATGATAGCGGCCCGTGTTTTTGTCGTAGGAATGCGCAAATATATCACTCACCGGTGTTCTTAGGTCACTGCAGAGTTTTGGCACGGGCCCCGCTCGCATGGGTTCAAGAGAAGCAGGAAAGCAGAAACCTTTTTATTTAAGAACGCCGTTCATGGGAAAGGGAAGAGAGCGAGAGAGATCGCTTTTCAACAAAACATCAGCCATTCTCAAGTAAACAATACATGCAGATCTCTGGAATAAGTTGTGATACGGTGCCAAGCGTCGTCATTTAAGGTGCCCCGTACGCAGAAACCTGTAGCGTTACTGAGATAACGTGGCACTGGGCGAGCTTTGCTCTCAAGCTTTGCCAGAGCTTTGGTTGCAATGGCATAACGATGAGATATGAGACCACGGTGTGAATCCATGCATCAAACAGCTTTCCCACAACTTTCCATTAATGAATATTACTTTGTGATTTCTGGAGAAGGTATAAAGCAGTTTATCTGAAGCTGAGCATCAACTTTTTGTGGCTTTGTAAGAATGTTATTCATTTCCAGGATGTTTTCAGGCCTGGAAAACATAATTTCATAACACTCGGGATTCAAAAACATAGAGTTTTACCGCATCATCAAAACAGTCATAATAAAATCATAACTGTTGATTACACTCTCAGGAAAAATGTACAAAAGCTGTCAATTGAGTGCATGGTACCCTTTCAAATGGTACATCTTTAGGCGCTTTTCCACTGCATAGTACGGTACGGTTCGGTTCGGTACGTCTCACTTGTGGTGCTTTTCCACTGCATGGTACGGTACAGTACGGTTCGCTTCAGGTCGCTTTAAATGGTACCTGGTCTGTTGAGGTTCCAAGCGTACCGTACCGGTACTAAAATGTGACGTGAAACACTGCAGATCACTGATTGGTCAGACAGAATCGTCACTACCAGCGTCACTACTAGCGTCATTGGATTTGCGACACGAGACACGAGACACTTTTTTAGCAGTATTTTTGTTTTGCTGCCATCAGCCTCATTTTAAACACATTCTTCCGTCTAGCAGTTAAAAACAATTACATACCGAGAATCAGGAACATCATCCCCTCGATAGTCTCCATTGTTCCTGTGTTGTGGGTTTGAAAATGTGGCGCTTTTAAGATGATGTCATGGCAGTAGAGGCGCGCGCAAATAACAATCAGTCCCACACACTTTGAAGGGGTACTACTGTGGTGGAAACGAAAAGCGATCCGAACTGTTCCGCTCCGAGTCGAAGCGTACTGAGCCGAACCGTACCGTACTATGCAGTGGAAAAGCGCCATTTGTACCTAAAGAGTGCATATTAGTATCTCAAAGGTACATATTGGTACCAATAGTGTACATAGTACCTAAATATTAGAAAGGGTATCGTCCCAGTGACAGAGAGTGCTGAGAAAATAACTGTAAATTAATTAAAGGTGTAGTTCACTTTTAAAAATACTTTTGCTGATAATTTACTCAGCCCCATGTCATCCAAGATGTCCATGTCTTTCTTTCTTCAGTCGAAAAGAAATTAAGGTTTTTGATGAAAACACTCCATATAATGGACTTCAATGGGAACCAAACGGTTCAACGTCCAAAAGACAGTTTCAGTGCAAACTGCAAACTGTTGAAAGGGTTTTAAACAATTCTAGACGATGAATAAGGGTCTTATCAAGCAAAACAATCATTTAAAAAACAAAGTTTAAATTTTATAAGCTCAAATGGTCGCCTTGCTGTGTTCTGTGATGCGTGTTCGTGACTCTCCTGTTCGAACTCGTTTATCAAAATGAACGAATCTTTTTTTCGTGTCATTGGCGAGCATTTGAGCTTATAAAACTTAAACTTTTTTTTTTTAAATGAGCGATCGTTTCGCTTGATAAGTCTCTTATTCATCGTCTGGAATCGTTTAAAGCCCTTTGAACAGTTTGCACTGAAACTGTCTTCTGGACCTTGAACCGTTTGGTTACCAGTAAAGTGCATAATATGGAGAAAAATCCTGGAATGTTTTCATCAAAAACCTTCATTTCTTTTTGACTGAAGAAAGAATGACATGGATATCTTGGATGACATGGGGGTGAGTAAATTATCAGCAAAAGTTTTTTTTAAAAGTGAATTACTAAAGTAATTCTGGAGGGTTTAAAAGCAAAAAAAAAGGTCAAGCATTTTATTGTAATATTATTTTAATTTAATATAAATTAGTCTTGAGAGGTTGAGCAAAGTAGCAGTATTCTGCAAATGCTGTTGATAAAGTTTAAATGAAATGCTATTTTTAAAGTTATTTCACTTCTGTAATCTGACATTTTGATTTAATGAAATGAAACTGGATATATAAAAACAAAAATGGAGAACAGGACTTTTTTTGGATCATGGAAAGTAGCATTACATACCGGAATGATGGCAGATCGTTGAAGAGGTTGAAGGGGTAAAAAGGATTTGTGATGTAACCTGAAAAAGAAAGCCATTTTAGTGGTGGAACAAGTTCAAAGTAGGGTACATTTTGATTCGATGTTGTATCTTACCTGTCTGACATTCTCCTTTAAAATAAACAGGGTTTTTAGAGTGGATCGTCCTGCAGTTAAAAGGAAAGATGGAAAGAACGCAAAACCTAGAAGGCAATATACAGTTACCAAATGAACAATGAATTCAGTAACCAGCATATTTAGCAGACATTTTATTAGAAAGTCATCAAACTCTAGAAAAATGGATGCAAATCGATGAACACGGCACAATTACTGCTTCAAAGTACAGCAATAAGACTTTGAAAAATAACAAATGGGGACATTATGAGATTCATTTATTCACACAAATGTACATGTGAAACTTGCAAACAGCAGATTATATACATTCAGTAGTAGAAGTTGTGGAAGACTTTCGCTTAGTAAAGACAATTCCCAAATAACATTCCTTCACTCTTAAATCAGTCCTCCAAACATTGATCTGAAGTTCAATACATTATGGTAGCAAGCAGTCATCCAGAGATGGTTTCGTCCCAACAAACACCCAAAACACACTAAACTGAACCTAAAAAATGCGACAAAAAAAAAGAAAAAGATTTCATTTAAATTTTGTGGCAGGTCACTTTAATGCTCTTGAATTGAGTTCATGATGTGGTGAAATGCTGTAGCTGTACTGCGTCAAAGATTGCAAGTAAAGGCAGCTAGTGTTAGAAAAAGGTTTAGATAAAATAGACTCGAGTGAAAGTGAAGGAGTCCGTTCAGAGTCCCGACATTTAAAGTGATCACACAAATATCTCCCACAAAACTCTTACACTGATTGAGATTTTAGGGGGGAGATTAAAAATCAAGTTGCGATCTGAATGACAAGTATGAAACAAAATGAATGCTTGTGTCAAACTGAACTAACTTAATGCTATGAGACCTTACACGTAGGTTTGACAACGGTTTATAGTCTGAAGAAAAAACATACTTAAGTGCATTTCAAATCTTGAATAAACAAAATGAAAAATAGAATAAATTAAGTTACTGATTTTTCATGTGCATAACAAACAAAACAAAAAAAAAAATCTTATGGCCAATTAACATTAGGCATCACTAATAGCTGTAATCGAATCTCATTTTCCAATTCTTTGGGAATTCGGACATTCCCACATGAAAGCCCTTGATAGGTCACAATATGAACACAACAAAACCCCCAAAACACTTTGATAACACAAGCTTGTGGCTTAAATAGTCTAAAAATATCTGCTGTACATATATGACACAATTATTTACATAAAGTTTGTTAATGATTTATGTGTACATACGTTCACCTGTAGACCTCTCGAGAACTTTGAATGGAAACTTAAGATACTGTAATCAGATTAAATGAGGCATTCTTTAAAAAACTGAAATGTTTGCACAGAAAAACTGAGATCTTGTGGGTTTTTTTAGTATGATTTTTTTTTTAATTTGAATGAATTGGATTCTCAACAGAGGGTTAATAACTTAATAGACCAAAGAATTTCTCCCGAGCAAAAAAGGACAATATCACATGCATGCACAATTGTGAGAGTGGCCTGAATATTTGCTAGTTTAAAAGGGTCTCCTTGACTGAGAATTTTGACGATAGAAAACGTCAAATACTTACAAAGGCCTTGTTGATTTAAGAACAAAAAAAAAAAGATATTGGTACAAATCAAACATCGCGTTTTTTCTTCTCTCATGGGTCAGGAATTTCTCCAGGCATGCATGAAAGGACACCTTCTACTAACGAATCAAACGTGGCCATTACAGTGCTCCCCGATCCACAGTCGTTTCTCTGTAAATAAGCTTTTTCGCTCCATTTGTACAAAACGCTGCACCTGCTCCCAGAGGTTTTGAATAAAAATGAAAAAAAAAAAAAAAAGAGAGTTTGCATAGAGTCTTAAGGGAACCTACAGAAATGAGTTTGTTGGCTTCCGTCAAACATTGTCGAACTTGTGTTTTAGGTAGTCCTTCATGACCTTGGCAATGGGCAGATCTTCCAGAAACTTTAGGCTCTGCAGGCCGATGCACTGCCGGATCTTTATCCTGCACAGATCCTGCAAAGTCCTGGGTTGCCCTGAAACAACAATTGTCAGGTTAAATTCAATCTATGTTGACATTTAATAAAAACTGAATGATTGCATTCCTGCACATTAACTCATTTAAACTGATAAGAGAGAAAAACATACAAAGATTGGTGGCTACAGCAGGGTAACTATAGTTAACTGAAACTAAAACCATAAAAAAATTGTTGCTTGAAATACATTTAATTTATTTTAAAACTTTTTTTATTTCAGCTTGTTGCCAAGGGAGTATTTCTCATTTTCATTGATGTACTAAAATAACTAAAACTGAAATGGAAATTATTAAAAACTATAGTTTAAAAACAACAAATTTATAACAGATTATTAAGCACGAGATAAACAAAATGTGAACAACATTAAACCACTCTCCAAAATGCACCAAATGCAAGCAAACTCTGTCAAGTTAAAATAATAATATTTTAAAGACAATTTATAAGGTAAGGAGGACGGTCTGACCCTTCTGTGTTTATCTGCCATTAAAATCAAAGTATATTCAGGGTGAAGCAGAAACAAGTTTGATGTTTCATAAGTATAGCAGTAAAAAACAGACATTCAATTAAAACAAATTGGCACAGAAAACCAGCAATATTACAAGTAGCCATCGGGGGAGGGATTTGTCATCTTAAAAGATATCAGGAAAGTTCTGCAATGAGTTCCAGGAACCCGGTGCACAGAGTTTATCAGTTTTAATGGGCCAGTTTTCCAGTCCCAACACAATATGGCACACACAAATGAAGCCAGCTGGAAAAACCACTACAAAGAGCTGGAGACGGCCATCTGCAGCCCCTGTCTTCTGTCAGTCTCAATGCCTTACCAAAAGCTCGCGACTATAGGTGACGGCAGAGAGAGCGAAATGAAATCAGTGCGTATTCTCACAGAGGAGAACCGGTCACTCCCTTCAAGACATGAAGTCATGCTCTCAAAGTCTGAGTCGTCGATGTAAATACAGCCGCTGAAGTGCCTTTTTAATAAATAATCAAGGTGAAATCGGATCAGGCTGAATGAGTTGACAGCGAGTAAATGTCTGCGACAGACAGGTGGCTTTGATATGGCGATATCAAAGTTGAAGCGGTGCACAGGAATGTGGCCATTGTTGCGTACTTGATCATTAGTGCTTCAGGTAACACGGCTCGCTTTTCTCAGATGACCGATTGTTCTGTGTGGGGGAAAGAGATCATAATGGTGTGCGTTCGGGAGGTTAGGCCATTGCTCAACTTACAGATCAGCTGCTGCTCTTCGTGAGATTTGACATATTTCTAGAGGAAAGAGTGAATATGACCTCCTTTGATGATACTCTTTTTGTTAACCTTTGAGGTTTAATGCTTCACGCTTGACTTGATTGGAGCTCTCTTCAAACTTGTGTAATGAGTGTCATTGTGTAACAGAAAAATGAAAGCTTCGAAGGTGTAATATGCTAAGGCAAACTCATTAGTTACTGTCGTTAACAAAAACAATCAAAACTTCCAATTGAATATAAGAAAAAGAAATACACACATGCATATATATATACTTTTTTCAGATCATCCCTATCTCTATACCTTAAAACAACTTGTCAATGCTTTTAACTTCTAAGTTAAATGCAATCAGTGTTTCTTTTGTTTATCGGGTCAATATTTTTTTTCTCATTCTGTATTACTTTTCTTATTTAAATCAATTTAATTTAAATGTATTAATTTACTGGTGATATTATTATTATTATCATCACAATTCATATTATTTAACTTGGAATAAAACAAGTTATTGTGAGGGATCGGTGTGAGTGGGTGAGAAAGCTTGTGTATGAATGAGTTTTGTATGTGTATTTGTAACGTGTGTTATGTAATGTTTTTCTTATGATTTGTATTTCGTATTTGTGTTTATAGGACCCTCTTGAAAATGAGATGTTGCAGATGTTGCAAGGCTATCCTTGAATAAATTCAATATGTGTGTATATTTACACATGCAGAAGAGGAAAGTATACCAACTATAATGTGCACTGCAATTAGGGCTGTATATCAGCAATTACTTCTATATGATACACATCAATATTCAATATGTTTTATATTCAAGATGTATTAAGGTGAAAACCTAAAATGAAAAAAAAGTACATAATGACATTTTTATTCGTTTTTTTTTTTATTATTGTTTAACTATTTTTAAACGATTACCTAAAACGATTATTAAAGCTGGCAATAAAAAATATTTGTTTCAAATAAAAATGCAAGTTTTCGAAAGAATTAAAAATAAACTGCAACTCTAAAGTGCACTAATGACTGAGCATTACTTGTGTAAATGTTAAATAGATGCTAGAGGATTCGAGAGACCTCAAAAGAGTACTGTCACCTAGAATACTAAGACCCTCCCAAATCAGTGTGCCAAACTTTTTTACTATTACCATCTACTAAAAAATGAGGAACAATGCTGACAGTCCACATATGAAGATTTAGAGGAAGAAGAACCTACTTGTGACCTCCTGCAGGAAGTCCAGACAGGGTCGACTGATGCCAGACATGCTGACTGAAACAGCCACGGGGGTCTGGCCCTCGTAGTTGCGTGTGTTGGTATCGGCCCCGTACGTGTACAGCATCTGAGCGCACAGCACATCGTCTCTGAGGGCCGACAGGTGCAGCGGCGTCTGTCCGTCCTCCAGCCGGCCCAGGTTAGTGTCCGCTCCCCGCTGCAGGAACATGCGACAGTACGAGTGGTTGCCCTTGATGACGGCGTAACGCAACAAGAAGCCGTTCTGAATGTCTATGTTGGCATTGTGGTCGAGCAGAATGCGCACACAGCTGGAGCGCTCGCGGATAATGGCCAGCTGGAGCGGCGTCGTGCCTTTGTCGCTGAGCGGGTCCACCTCGGCTTTGAACTCTAAGAGGAGACGCACGAAGGAGTCGCGGCCGTAGTGGGCCGCCACGTGCAAAGGGGTCCAGCCGTCATTGCTCTTGGCATTGATGATGTCGCTGCGATACTCGGACTCCAGCATGAGGCGGGCGATGCGGGCACGGCCGTGCATGGCAGCATAATGCAGGGCTGTGAAGCCTCCGATAAAATCCTTCACTGTGGGGTCCGCTGGAAATCAACACACGACAAAATCAAACTAATTTAACTGACAACCCCAAAAAATTTGATCCCTACTATTATTGCACAAGTCAATCTGCAATTATATACATCTTTCTTTGCATTAATGTGTAACGTAAGCTCTCTAACACTGGACATTTAAAATGTACTTAAATCTTAAAATGCCATGTGAAATTAAAAAATATTAAATGTTACAATTGCATTATGGTAGGCTATACTTGCTTTCAACATGACTAAAATGTTAACAAAATAATGTAAAAATAATTAGACTATTTCTTTACTTTATTATGTAGGCTGGATTCCAAAAACATGAATGGAAGTGGATTTAAGATATATAAAATAGTAATGTTTAGAACATTACATTCATGTCATTCTATCATGTACAATATTTGTATTTATGACTCATTTTTAACTCTTAAATGTTAATAAATGACTACAGTTACAGTCCCTTAAATTGTTGGTCATAATTATTTGTATGAGATTTAGCTAGCTAAAATGTCATTTAGCATCCCCATGTGCTCTTACAGCTTTTGACCAAATCATTTCAATGATTTATCTATCATTTTTCAGTAGTTATGAATAAATAAGTTTCTATTAACTACAGGAAATTCACTTACATTTCCTGACAAAAAAAAATCAATCAGTCTGATTCAGGGTTTCTACAGGTTTAATGTAGATTTAGGACTTTTAAGACCAACTAAAGAAACACAACGAGTTGTATTAGCAACACTTCCAACAGATATCTGTTACTTTTTATTTTATTTTACAAAATAAGTCACTTATGCACTTGTCACCACGTGCCTCTTCTCCCAACCACTAAATTCTGATCAAACTGCAAAAAAGTGCTGTTCCTCCTCAGTGTTTTTGTCTTGTTTTCCAGTGCTAATGTCTAATGAAAGATGCATGCAAAATGTTTTCAAAATTAAGTGAGTTTATGATTAAAAGAAGAACAAATATCTGCCAGTGAGCTCAGAAAAATCAACTTAATTCAAATTGAAGTTTTCATAAGAAATACAGAGAAAATAAATATTTCATGAAGAAATACTTAGGGAGGATATTCATTTTTATGCAATGCATGTGACGTAAATGCCATGAATTCATTTCAGCTCTGATTAAAGGCCTTGATTTGTGTAAGGGCAAATTAAAACATTAAATACACTCAGACAGTGAAACTGCACAGTTAAACATTTAATTGTGGATCATTCTATCTGCAGATCTTTTGATAAAAATAGCTGTTTTATAGCGCCCCCTAACGTCTAGCATGCATTACGACACTTAAACATGAACATCAGAACAGTATTGTCTATTCTACAAACTTAATACCAGTTTAGTATTAAGGGATTAAGAGATGACAAGATAGTAAACCTAATTTTAATGCAAGAGTGTAAAATATCACCTCAGCCACCATTGTGAAATTGTTATCAGGAATGAAAAAGTACTTGATCATTCTGAAATCATATTTCCCCAAGGAGAGGGATCATATTCAAACTATATACTGATTAATACACATTAAACTATGCATTTTCATTACTCTTTGTTGTATTTTTTGGAGCTTGGTAGTTTAAATCTCCATCTACTTTTAATGTGTGGAAAACAGAAGCCCGTTTTTTTAAAAAAAATAATAATAATACAGGGCCCAAACTACTTTAGGGTAAGTAACATAAAGCAAGCCAACCACAGTTTATAATAAGTGTCAATCTAGGCCGGTCTTTCAAGATATTTTCTCACAAAGTGACACATTAAATCAGACTTGCAACCAAACGTTTACCTCCATGTTCGAGGAACACGCGCACGCAGCGCTCCTTGCCCTTTGCCGCAGAGAAGTGCAGCAGCGTCCAGCCATTGGCATCTCTGATCTTGGGCGAGTAGCCCTGCTCCAGCATCTTACGGACAGTGTAGACATCGCCGGCCGCCACCGCCGCCTGGATCTGCAGCTCCTCCTGTAACTCTGGGTTCCTTCTGCAGTGATGGTTCAGCATCCTGTCACATCTCGCAGTACGGGCGTCAGACGCTCCTGTGTCCCTGCATACAAACACACGGATGACATTACTGATAGACAAGCTCCTCATTATACACTCAAAAAGCATGATCAAATCAATTATGTATGTTCAAAGAAAAAAAATGCAGCCAGAGTGTTTACATTTTTAGAGGAATCAACCACAAATGTCTCAAAGGAGATTTTTAATACAACTTTTCCATGTCCAATATAAATACCAATACTGGAACCTTGAGTATCTGCCGATACCAATACGATTTTTATTCTTGATCAGCTTAGACAGAATATCTTAATATCTAATTAATTTACAAACTACTCAATGCTTTATTATTAATAAAATAAAAAAAATATATGCATAAAATATTACATAAGATTTTAGAATTACTGTTAATTTAAATGCTGAATTTTAATCGAATGCTTTGAATGTCACAGGCTCTGTAATATATATATAGGCCACGTGTGTGTGTGTTTAAGTGAAAAATATATAAAACACAAATAAAACAAGGCTACAGGATATATCACTAATATTAACAATTGAATGTGCATAAACCTCTTACTGGAGAATTTTTAATAAAAAAACAATTATAAATTACTATTTGTGTTACAAAGAGTGCCAGCATAATTAAAATCTTATGAGCCATGTATTTGAGACAAATATTACATAATTTATTACTACATAAATATATAAACACTATAAACAGTGTTTCTTTGGAATGTATGACACTGATTTTAATATTTCTTTAAGAACATGATAGATATGATAGAACAAATACATAGACTAAGTATTAATTATCTTTGCAAAAACAGTATGAAAAGAAAACAATTGCACACATCACTTTTAAAATGATAAAAATATAATCTTGCATGGAAAGCGCATATATGCACTTGCGTTGCGTGAAGGCAAATCCATTAAACCACCCCAAAACAAGCTCAGACAACATAAACATGTTAATATAAAACAAAATGACAGCAATTACAAATAAATAAATATTTAAAAACAGTGCCTGCAGATAATTAGAAATGACAAAAATTACCGTTCATTAATTTCTTGTAGATCTAAAACAGCCTTTGAGGTCTGCATCCATAATCATATCCCCTTCAGAACTCCATTCTAGAGATGCAGAGTAATATAGAAATATCATCATCATTTATATAATATCTTTTCATTTATATGTATTATGTATTAATGCAGATTCATAGACATTTACATAATCATCATTTAGCCACACCTAAATGGTGACGTCTTATTTACACACTTATCTGTCATTACATTGATCAGCTCTGTCTAGGAACAAACATTTACAGCCACCCATCAGTTCACAATGTAATTGTCTCCCAGACTCTGAAAAACCAGCAACAGCGAGCATTTGCACACCTACATCTACCTTTAACAACATAAATGTTCAATAGCATATGTGATATATACCATCAACTGCAGTCTAACCTGTTTAATCACCTCAAATAAAGTAAATAAATGGTAAACAACCCAGTTAGTAGCTGCTGCACTGAGAACAATGAATCTGTTAGCTGGTGTGCTAAACCAGCTGTGGCAGCTACAATGAGCCTAAAACAAATACTAATGCTCCTCTTTTTTAGAGACACACATAACTCATTTTAATATCACTGCAATAAATGATACGATAACTCTAACACGTATCATTAAACTGAAGGAGAATCTGACAAACTCTGTGATTGACATACAGTGTTACTGCATTAGCATTGTTAGCATTTAGCCAGCGGTTTTTGACCATTCTCAGAAGAACACTGCTTTTAAAGTTATTCAAACTCTCTAAACCTGTGGCGAGAGGATAAAATTAACGACATATGCTTAATTAACACAATAATAACTCAGGGGACAGTGAAATAAAAATATATAATATACATACAGAGTACAAATACAGTCAGGTAGCCATGAACACCATCTCCAAGGCTTCAAACCGCAGTAACCAATCAGATCCGAGCTGTCAAATACGTCATGCAGACGTCATACCGCTGCAAAATAAAACCCCGAAGGTTGGAGTTTTGCGACAATTTTGACCGGATAATGGCAAACAGCATTACATGTGCTATATGGAGACGTTTGTTCATTTTGGATTATTTTAATCACTGTTGATGAAAAACTGGGGTTTTAACTGATTATTTCCTAAGCTGTATAAATTCTGCTTTAACGCAGCTTCTCTCTACAGATCACGTATGTCAGTGGATTCTAACCCAATTTTTATACGAAAATCTCTAAACAATCACTACCGGTCTGTAATGAGGTTATTTTTCCATTTATGATCTCCTTGTCTATTATATTTATTCCTTGCAGAGACTGATGAAGTGGCTGTTATTGAGTTATTGTGAACGGAAAATTGGAAATTCATCATAAATCACGTAAGCAAAGAAGATGCTGCAAGCAATACATTTGTGATTTGGGGATATTTTGGAATAGCACATTTACAATGTCTTTAAGTACTTTAAGGGAAGAATCATACTTTTTTAATTCTTGCAATTTCAATTAAACATAAAAGTAAAGTGTTGCACATTGATTTATTTCATTATGTCTTATTGAACTAACAAGCCAAAAAACTCATTTTATTGTAATTTTGTTGGCCATAACTTTGGTCATTCTGTCTTTGGCTTAAAGGGATAGTTCTCCCAAAAGTGTACATTCTGTCATTAATTACTCGCCCTCATGTCGTTCCAATCCCATAAGACTTTCATTCATCTTCGGAATACAAATTAGGATCTTTTTATAAAATCTGAGAGCTTTTTGTCCCTCCATTGACAGCTGTGCAACTGACACTTTAACACTTCAAAAAGTTCATAGATATTAAATAGATAGAATTCATAGATATTAAAATCATTGAAGATTCAATCAACCTCATCGTTTTTTGCAGAAGCTCAAACTTGCTGAGTAATACACAAGAATGAACCTCGTTGGTTCTTGCACATCAAGTGAACATGCTTAAGCTTCTGTTTACCACAACTGATGTGAGAGTTGATGAAGGTTTGTATGTCAATGTGAAATGACAGTGTTTAATTTTTTTTTTTAATTGACCCCTTAAAAAGCAGTTCATTTATTAATTAATTTTAATTTAAAATTTTAATAATAATACTCACAATAACAAACGGCTGCTTTTTTAAAGTCTGACACATTCAGGACTAATTGCAGGATATAACTTTAGCTAAATTTGGCATGTCTTTTAGAAATTTAAAGAGCCAAAAGTTTTAATTTGCAGATATAAAATGTCTTTGTACAGCCCTAGAAACTAAGTACTCTGGCCTTCTTAGCCTTTCAGAAACTCTATCTGTCAATCGTTTTTCACTGTCAGGTTTGCTGACATCAAATTGTCTTACATGTTCATTAAGGAGAGAGGTTTTTTTTAGAAGCATGTGGTTGAAAAGATGGGTTGATACAGTACAATTTAGTGGCTTTAGTCTTAGTAATGCATAACAACATTTTCTAATTACAGGTTATATCTGCAGTAGTTTTGTGTAAACACAAGTTTCGTGCATGAATTACTGATTATCATTTGTTTGAACCTTTATTTTCACAGTGTCTCAGCATGGATGCTGCAGGATTGGATTTCCAAGCCATTTTCAGGCTGTTATGTACAGGATCTGCTCCCAGCCTGAGCAGTGAAGAGCTCTCCAGCAGAATCTCTTCATGTGTTGATCAAACAGCAAACACTCCTGCTCCGTCTGTCACACACACAGACCTCATGTGCTTGTGTCTCACTCTTATTGAGGCCATCATTAACAAGCTGACAGCACAGAGTCTGCCACAAGATGTCACAATATTCTATGAAGATGTCAAAAGAAGACTGTTTGAAGAAATGAATCTGATGGCAAAACTGGTATGTTTAATCAAATTAAAGGAGTAGTTCACTTAAAAAATGATATGAAAAATGACTGATAATTTACTCACCCCCATGTCATCCAAGATATCCATGTCATTCTTTCTTCGGTCGAAAAGAAATTAAGGTTTTTGATGAAAACATTCCAGGATTTTCTCCATATAATGGACTTCATTAGGAACCAAATGGTTCAAGGTCCATATGAGAGTTTCAGTGCAGCTTCAAAGGGCTTTAAACGACACGAGATGATGAATAAGGGTCTTTTGGAGCATTTCATTCGGACCTTGAACCATTTAATTCCCAATGAAGTCCATTATATGGAGAAAATCCTGGAATGTTTTCATCAAAAACCTTAATTTATTTTCGACTGAAGAAAGAAAGACTTGGACATCTTGGATGACATTGGGTGAGTAAATTATCAGCAAAAGTTTTTTGAAAAGTGAATTACTCCTTTAAACATGTACAATTATTTTAATATATATATATATATATGTATATATATATATATTTTTTTTTTTTTTTGTGATAGAGATTTTGGTAACACTTTTTACACATTTTTTAAAAACATATTTTATCCCTACTGAGAATAATGGGAATTATTACAAAATTATAATACAAAAATTCACAAAATGGCCAAACACATTTTGGTAAAGTTAATTTATTAGTCATTAATGGGATTACAGTTTTTTTATTTTTTTATTTCTGCATAGAAACTTCTTAATTTTACTGAAAATAATAGCACAATGCAAAAAAAAATAATAATAATAATAATAATGGATGATGTGTTAGTTTTTTTTAATGTAAAATATATTGAATTATTGTTTTTCTTTTCTTTTAAGTCATGTCACCTTTATTCCTGTAGCACTTTATACAGTACAATACAGGTTGTTTTGAAGCAGCTTCACATTAGTAAACAGGAGAATAGCTCAATTAATGAAGTAAATGACTTCAAATGTAAGACAAGTTCAAACTAGCAGGTGTAGCAAGATAATAGTGTTCTTATTCAGCCCAGTTCAGTTTAATGTTGATTCAGTTCCATAAGGGTGTGAAGTTCATTCATGATAGAACTGGTTCAATTCAGCTGTAAGCAGCTCTTAAGAAGACACTACTGTCGTCATCAGCTCAATGTTGATTCAGTTCTGTTCAATAGTGGTGTAGATGTTGCAAACTGCATTAGTTTGGAATTATTTTTTTTTCAGCTATAATGCGAAAGACAAAATGTGACTTGGGCAAGCTTGTGATTACACATTAAGCCTAGAGTTTAATTTAGATATCAAATACCTGTTCAGTTTGAACATGTTTTTTTGACCCATTATACAGGTTTCTCTCCTCAACTGTCAAGACCAGCTGGTGTCTCATTTATCTGCAAAGTGTATATCAGTCTATGTCATCAGTGACATTTCCATCAATGTGAGTATTAACTTGGACTGGCAACTACTCCATCTGAGTTTTATGTGGGTTGATATATTATGAATGTTTTCTGTTTCTCTCTCGCAAGCAGTGTGGGTTCACTAAGTGCTGTAATTGTTGATTATAGGGAGGCAGCAGCTCAATATGGAGACATAGGTGTGCTGAAGTATTTCAGAAACCAACAGCAAGCAGTGAACTGGACTCCTGTCTGTGGTCTCTGACTGCTGTGATTAAAGGAGTGCTGAGAGGAGAAATATGCCAGAGGAAAAGAGGTATTGAAGTGTGTTCAGACTGAGTTGTTTTAAATGTTGAGGAACCTTATAAAAGGTTTTATCTGAGGTGGCATGACATTTACATTGGATTAAACAGCCAATCTTTGCCTTCTCATTTCAGAGGACATGATCTCTTAATTCCAGCTGTTTGTTTGTCTTCTCCATAGATGTTTTGATGAAGCTTCTTTCTGGATTGGATGCCTCCATCACTTCCTTGCACACCAACCTTCTGACTCAAGACACACAGGACCCTCACAAAAGAGAACTGATAAATATTTCTAAAACCATGTGTGAGTTCTTCGACCTCCTTGAAGTCCTCAGCGCTGCCCGGCTCAGATATGGAGTCTGTTCTCCTGTTCAGAGAGTCATATTTGTTCATTCGCGAGGGCTCCTTCGTGTCATGAGAGCAGATGTGGAATATTTTGTAAAGAAACGAGCACTGCTTCTTCTAAAGAAAAGTCTTCTGCGGAGAGCCGGGGACGATTGGGCTTTAGGTGAAGCTCAGTCTGCGTCACGTGAAGATCACAGCCTGAGTGAGGACATGTTGGCCATGGCAGATGGAGTGTTACAGGAAGTGAATGCAGGCTGGCTCAAGGAAGTGCCTGTGAAATCTAAGGCCAGTTTCTTTGGTGGGAACTGTGATGTAAGACTCACTGGGACGCAGAAGGACGATGTGATGCTGAGAGCCGTGAGCCTGGTTTTGCTGAAGTCACTAGAAATAAACATTCAGCGCCTTCATTGTAAAGGTAACTCATTTATTAGTTTTCACATCATCAAAGTAACAACTGGAAAATGAAAGTTCATTAAGACAAACTTTACATGACAGTCTTCCCCAAAGGATGCCTGAAAGTTACAGTAGTTAAGTTAATATAGTTAACTTAATATAGGATAACTAAAATATAGTGAAATACTGTTATAGTTGACAGTATTATACTGTTATATACAGAAATACTGATAGTTTGAAAACTGTTTCATATGCTATATGGTTGCTAAGGAGTTCTGAATTATATAGAATAGAAATTACATTTAAGAAATGCAGAACATTTGATATTGTGAAAAACAAGTTTAGATATAACACTCTTCAATTTTTTTGCAATAAATCATGAACGTTGTTTCATATGACTGTGTTACCCATGTTGTTATTGTTGTTTAACTAAAACTTTTAAAAATGCATTTCTCTAAATAAACCTGAAATTAAATATAATTATTGGATGAAAACCTAAAACCTTGGCCTGAAATATAAAGTTAAAGCTTTAAAATTACTAAAACAAAAATAAATTAAATATAAATAAACGAAAAAGATTAAAATGGTCAAAACACAACAAAATTACTTAAATGCAAACAAAAATTGAAATTAAAAAATTAAAATTAAAGCTATAATTAAAAATATTAATAAATGTACCACAATAGTTCTGTCTCAGATGAATTGCATGTTTTTAATTATTTGGAGGCACTGATTCACAAAGCATTTGTAAGAATGTTTGCTTGCATTGCATGTGTGAAGCAGAAATGTAACTTTCTAGTTCTTCACCACATCTTAGTTAGAATAAAACATACCATTTAATCATTTACAACAGCAGGGGGCAATGTATTTCTTTGTAATACATGTCTTTCCTGTGTTTCCAGGATCTCAGAGTGACATTGACATCCGTCAGTATTTAACAGAGCTCATGTCATTCCTCCAGCGTCACGGGACTCTGATGTCTGCAGACGCTCACAGCTGCTCCTGGGTGTCTGTAGTATTTGCTGAACAGGATGATGACATGATGGAATCAAGCAAGACTTTGATTGGCTTGTATTTATATCAAAAAAGGTTTGAATCTGTTTTATAAATCCTGCTATACTGTACCCAGAAATTTAGCTCTTTTTCAGAAATTTTAGCTCTATTTCCAGAGGTATTAATGATTTGTGGAATTAAATCAAATTCAAGTATTTGGGCAGACAGTTAATGCATTTCACATTAATTTAAAAAAAAAAGAAAATTACCAATCTAGTTGGAAGATTTCAAACATGTTCATATCTTGAGTCAATTTTAGAACACATTTGTCACATGTCTCTTAGCAATATTGTTGTGTGAGTTTGTTCAGAACGAAAGTCTGGTAGTGGTTGATCCTGAGTTTAGTGTATGAAGCCTATTGTTTTCTCTGTAACCATTTGGAAAGCCAGCAAGTATATGATTCCTAGTGTTTTGAAGTCAATTTAGATCCCGGTTTCACAGACAAGGCTTATATTAAGCCAGGATTATGCTTTTGTTTAATTAGGGCATTTAATATCTTTTTAAAACGTGCCTTAAAAAACATTACTGGTGTACATATTGAGACTAAATATGGGCACTGATATATTAAGCTATATTAAGATATGTCCGTGTAAGTTGCTTTCAGCTTAGACAGCTCAAAATGTGTTTTAGTCTAGGACTAGACTTAAACCTTTGTCTCTGAAACAGGGGGTAAAATTCACAAAGTGAAATAGAATAGAATTCATCTTGTTTTAAAGAATGTTGCGTTTAATGTGGCAGAGGACAAAACTACATATATATATATATATATATATATATATATTATAGTAATTTAATGGTAAATGTTTTTTTTTTCCCCCCTTTTCTTCACAGTTTGAGTTCCTCAGACTCGGGGGTTTGCGTCTGGGGTTGTAACCCTCACTGTCATTTCATACTTCTTCTCCGCTCCCTCTCCTTTGACCACACCGTGCTGCTTGACTTCCTCATCTCTTCGGAAACATGTTTCCTGGAATACTGCGTCCACTACCTGAAGCTTCTCCGTGAGGACCGGACAGGCTTGTGTAGGTCTTGTCGTCATATTGAAGATTGTGATGGGAGGCTTGGTGCCACTAGAGGAGGAACTGATCCTTCCGTTCAAGCTCCCTCTGCTAATTCAGAGACGCTGTATGTTGTTCAAGCAGGTAATGAAGTTTCAGTTCCACGACTGGTTGATTATGGGAGCTCGGACGACTCCGATGAGGCAGAAGAGCATGTTTCTGGGAAAACTGATGTAGATTCTGGTAGGACTGAAGCATCTTTTTGCCCATCTGAAATGGTGCTAGAACAAGTTCAGACTGAATATGCATCCGAATTTCTGTTAGATAAAGTGTTTGTGTGTCTTATGGACTTGAGGACCACTGTAACTAGACTACATAACAGGGGTCTCTTTCCCTACAACCCTACCTCACTTCTAAAACTGTTAAACAGCGTAGAACGCCAGAGAAACAGAGTTAGTTAGTTAGCTTCGACTTAAAGCTAAGTAACAGGGATAGATTATGGCTGATCAAGAATTATCTGTTCAATTACTGCAGTGAATAAACAATACATTGCTGAACCAAAAGATTATTTTTGCATCAAAATTAATAAGATGTATTGAGGGACTAAATTATATATAATATAACAAAACAAGGCGTGAAATAAATTCATCTGGTAACACTTTACTATATGGTTCCAAATGTTAACATTAGTTAACATGAACTGAACCATTTATCAATCTTAGTTAATGTGAATTTAAATAATTACTAATACATTATTAAAACCAAAAGATGTATCCGTTACATTATATGTAATATCATTTAGCGTAGCTGAGCAAACGCAAACTCGTTTTTATGAAATAATAATCTTATTTTTTTGTGCATGCAGTTCATTCTACTGTTATTTTTTCACCTAAAATGAAAAATGACACGAAATTTAATTTATATTCATTTGTTTACTGTCGTCTGCTAAATCACTCCATAATAAAATTCCTAACAAAAGCTAATTTTCCAAATGTGATAATCTGGTATGGCGCCACTCCCTCATTCAGCATTTGTGTTTGTCTACTTTTTTCACTATAAACTCTGTGATTTACTGTGTATGTAAACCATATTAACAGCAGGTTTATTCCACTATTTGGGATTGTGGGATTAGGCCAAACACAATAATTTAGCATTTAAATGACATCACAAATTTCCATCATTTTATATGCAAATATCCACAATCAACATCCGGCAACAGCTTTTCAGAGGGAAAGGCACCACTAATGTAGATCAAACAACTGTTTCTCACATTAATGTCATAATTAGGCTTGTTAGATGATTAGACTCTCCTCCACTTGAATGTTAGTTGCGAACGTTAATTAAATTAAGGATCCCAGCGGATAAAAAACCTTCAGTTTCGGTCTAGCTCCTAACAAACCTGATTTAAACTGAGCTGTAGACATTACATATTTTTAGCAACACATTATTTTAGAAATCATTCGAGCACAAATGACATAAATGCATGGTTTCCACAAAAAATATCAAGCAGCACAACTGATTTCAACCTTCATAATAATAAGAAATGTTTCTTGAAATTAGCATATTAGAATGATTGAAGGATCATGTGACACTGAAGACTGGAATAATGTTCAGTAGCACCTCATTTGCAGTACACAAGATCCAGGGGGCGGAGTCGGATCCATAATTGAGGGGTCCGACTCCTCCCCATTGATTTAATGTTCTGCAGTGAGGACCATCTCATAAAATTCAGCTTTGCATCACAGGAATAAATTACATTTAACAATATATTCTAATAGAAAACAATTCAGTTGCAATAATATTTTATTATATTACTGTATTTTATAGTTTTTAATCTAACAAATGCAGCCTTGTTGAGTAAAATAACAACAACACTTCCTTCAAAAACAACTTTGACCCCAGAAGAAAAAGTAGGATAAATAATAAATAATATATTGCTACAAAAAAAAAAAAAAAATGATTATGGAGCAAAATATCTCGGGTGCAAATTTATCTATTGCTTCTAAGTCAGCAAAATTAGATTAAAAAGGGGAAAAGATTACATAAGGGTTCACTTGCAGTGTGGATTTATGTCAACCACAATGTATGGATTGAGTTTCACCAATTTAGGAGACATTAAGAAGTAGAATTTAATTGTTTCTACTGTTATCATGTTAATACGTTTGATAGGATCTATGAACTTTCAGGATGCCTTTGTTTACTTTTTATGTACCAATTCTGGTACTGTGATTGGTCACCACTTGATGCCCAATGTAAATTAAAACTAGGTGTCTCCTGAATTCAAGGAATCTAATGGGTGCAAGTACTGGCAGCGTGTTTTTACTGGAAACACACCTCATAGAACTGAGTCATTGACTGTTTGTTCTTTTGTCGTATCTGGCTGTTCACACACACTATCTCGCCCTCACCTTTTGCAGCTCTATCAGTTGCACTATGCAAATAAGGTGAGTCCTTAGGGCGCAGTTTTTATGTGTGCGCATGAGTGAACCCAATGAATGCCTGTTAATCTACAGAAGGTAAGAAGGAGGTAAGTAGGGAGGGGAGGAAGCAACTCAATTGCTACTAAGGTAGGGTGTGACCACAAAGTAATTCAGACAAAGAACATTCCCGTGGGTCTCGAGAGCAGCGGTGCTGTCATGTTACTCACTTCACCAGCGGAACGCAGAGCGAGCGGCGTGAGATCAGACGGTTACCTGAACGCTGCACTGAACCGCTGACAGGTAGCAGAGGTAGCCTAAGTGTTTGCTTTTTCTTGACCTTTGAAAAACTTTCAATCTTGTGTTTTTTTTCTTTTTTTGTTTAAAGAGGCCTTTATGGAAGATGTTTGGAGAGTGTCTCTAATGAAGTAGAGCTTGTGGAAACCTGTTACCTGGATTTTAAGACATTGGAAAATAATGTTAAACTCAGGTTTTCCTGTTGTATCTGTTAAATTGTGTTTGACAGTTGACAACTTCTATATTATAAGCTGGGTTGGACTGTAATGCTAAAGTTTGAAAATTTTAATGTGCTTAAGTTGGTCAGTTCTTGAGTTTTAACTATATTCAGTTCATATATCCTAGTTTCTTGTTATCAGAAATGGTTAACAAAGAAGATAGTGGCTTTGCGATGGTGTAAATAATTATTAGAGTTGTGTTTGGCAGTATTAGGGTTGAAGGGAAGGATAGTGATAATTCTGTGTGAGCTGTACATGGAGAGGCAAGCTTTGTTTACTCAGCGTCTTGCTCAAACAAACTCTGAGCTCTTTGTTATGTTCAGTTGACATGGTGTTCTGGTCATTCTGTACAGTCATGGAGATAGACTGCCATTGTGTGCTGTATTGCCTGATCAAAATCAAAATGTTAGGCTGTATTATTGTTGAAGTAATGAGCAGTTAGCCATTAGTTCAATAGTTTGAGTTGGTAACATTTTTTGTTTGTTTGTTTTTAGGAGATTATGATCACCAAGGCTGCATTTATTTATTAAATACAGTTAAAATAATATAATTGGGAAATATTATTGCAATTTCAAATATCCTTTTTCGATTGTAATACATTTACAAATGTAGGCCTAATTTAGTTCTGTGATTAAAGCTGAATTTTCAGCATCATTACTCCAGTCTCCAGTGCATGATCCTTCAGAAATCATTCTAATGTGCTGATTTGCTGCTCAAGAAACATTTATTATTGTTATCAATGTTGAAAAAAGGTGTGCTGCTTCACATTTTTGTGGAAACCACCCCTCCCCCTATTGATTGTTTGATTATATTGTGTTTGAAAAAGAAATCTTTTGTAATATTATACATTTATTTACTGTCAATTTTCATCAATTTAACGTGTTCATGCTGAATAAAAATATTCATTTCTTAAAAAAAAAATCTTAACCCAAATTATTTGAACAGTAGTTTATATGTATACGATCTCTTATTATATAACATTTTTAAATGCCACATCTGTTGTCTGATCACTTCCAAACATCAGCCAATTTGTTGATAAATTGCTAATAATAACACCTATAATAAGACATTTAGTCCAAAAACGAATCAACTAAAGTTTTATCCAAAATATTTTGGTTAATTCATTTAAACTTCTTACTTTAAATATTTGAGTTGAGACGGCAACACGATCACATCATGGCACAAAGTCCTCGTATAACCTGCTTGGTATGGTTCGCCACACTTTTATGGCACTTTAAAAATTTGACCAAGCCAATCAACCCAGGATTTACAGTACAGTTTAATATCTCAAAACTTGATACCCAGGATTAATTACTAACCCAGTCTGGACCGTGGGAAACCTGAACAAAATTACAAAGGATTATGTAATAATTTAGTCTCTGAGACTTACTTTCACTTGTGATGGCCTTATTAATTTTCCAGCTTTAGTGTGCATCACGACTAATACTTATACTCTATTAGCTTGGGTGTGAGTTGCTGTTGAACATGATGCAATTCACTGAATAGATTTGAACTTTATATCTGCACAAGAACATGTTGCTAGCCCTGTATTTGCCGTTTGGGTGCATGGCATCTCAGGTGTGTGTGTGTTGGTACATACAGTAAGCATGTGGTTTAGCCCTGGGGTTAGCATCGGCCCTATACTGTTTTCAGTAACAGCAAAGCTGTTTTACTATCAACAAATTGGACAAATCCTTTTCAGAATCTGCATGGTTATATATACAATTAGAGCTACAAGAATCCCAACTATTTTAGCAATGATAGTTTTTTGATGAAAGTCTTTTGATATTGACCTTTTATTGTTTGGTATTTTCAAGATTCTGCTTCACATTTTTTGTAGGTGTAATTGGATGCGCGCACACACACACATATTTATATATATATATATATATATATACATACACACATACATACATACATAAAATTTACATATATATATATATATATATATATATATATTAATTATTTTATGACAAATATATAAATATATGACATAAATACACTGTGTTGATGAATAAGCCTGTATTCATCACTAATTCTTACATGTCTAAATCTAATATGTTCTGAACCAATACCTCTGATATCATTTCCCAAATCTTCTCTGATCTCTCTTTAATATATAATAGAAAAATAATTTTTTTGTAAGGTTCTACAAATTTATGAGTGTACCATAGACTTTTATGCTGTATGGATGGATGCTACTATTATATTATGTACTGATATAGGTATCATATCAATAATAAACAGGATAAAACATCATGAAACTTCTCTTCTTTAGAATAATGTGTGTACTGATGCATTATGAACCTTGTTTTCAATTTTGTCAATGATTGGTGTCAATTTTGTTTTTAAGTTGAATACTCACACTTTCTCCTCAAATGAATTCAGTATTCACAGTGTTGGCTGAAAACACTTCTTTTTGTAATATGTGATGCGTGCAGTCTTGTCTAACTGTACTTGTCATCTGCTGTGTCCAACAGATCGTGGTCATGATTGGTATGATTGGTGAGTGGTTGTGGTGGGACCGGCTGTGGCTGCCGGGGAACCTCACGTGGGACGATCTCACAGAACAGGAAGAGCTTGTCTATGCCAAAGTGTCCCACCTCTATGTCATTGTGCCGTATGCTTTAGTTTTCCTGCTAGTCAGATACTTGTTTGAAAGGTGAGTTGGTGGTGGAATTTCTCTGATTATGTTGCAGGAAATTAACATTTGATCTATCACTCAGGGTATATATTTCAATGGCCAGCGTGAGAATTTGTAAATGCCTCATTTTGAAAACCACCCAATATACCAGCCTGACCAGACTGGCAGATGAGAAAACTATAGCAAAAGCTTTTTTTTTTTTTTTCTTTTTGAGAAGGCTGTGTGGCTGTTTTAGGTCTTTTTCTTTGTTAAATAATTAGTTCATATGTATTGGTAACTGTGTTTACAACTCTGTGGGTGCGTTTAAATCAGCTTCTTAGACTAGCAATCAGGTCACTGATCAGGAAGTCGGCCATTTTAAGACCCGTCTCAATCCTTTCAGTGCACTGAAACATTCACTCCCTAAAAAGTCCCACAAACCACTGTGAAAACCAGGGGGCATCAATGCTCACTGTATTCTTACTGGAAAATCTGAAGCGCAAGAAGATAAATCAAGTGGGCCAAGGCCAACTCAATACACAATGTAACACGAAAGATGTTTTCTTTTTCAACAAAAAAAAAACAACATTATCTACATTTGTTTTACTGTCAATCCCTGATAGCACACGTACATCAAGGAGATGTCTATTTGATGTGTGTTTACATCTGGAAGACATATTTTTTCATAGTGTTTGTTCATCTGCAATATGTCTAGGACGCTTCCTGTTAGAAGTCAAATGGACGTTTAAGATGTCTTTAAGATGTAGGCTACTAATGATTTAGGATGTAGGCTAGATCAGATGTTAGTAAACAGCAGATGCTTTCCAGATGAAGGGATCTTTAACAGACATCTTGCAGACGTACATGCTATGTTAATCAATTGAATGTGTGCATGCTGAATTAAAGTATTAGTTTCTTTAAAATATACCACATTTGTGCCAGGTTGCATAAACTGCTCAGTCTTACAAGTTAGTCTGATCTGTTTTCTTCAATGTTTTTTTTTTTTATTTATTTTATTTTTATCTGGTAAGGCAGCATCTGTGCGTTGCGTTGCTTGTGTATAGGCATTAGTTACCGTGGAAACCGCCATTTCTGCCGCTCCTAAAGCGCCTTCTGCTGGCACCTAATGTAAACAGCCTTGCAAACCTGTATTAATGCCTAATACTAGTGTGGCTGTGGATTTCTTCTACAAAATTCACTCATGACAGTACAATATAGGGCCTTCTAAGTCAGTCTACTGCAGTGTCCTCTCACTCAGTAGAAAACGTGGTTAACCCAGTCGTGCTTGGAAAAAAGAATACTGTACGGTGAAACTGGTATAATTTTGAACAATACCGTGATATGGATTTTTGGTCATACCGCCCAGCACTAATTTAAAGCTATAAAAGCCGCTCGTAAAGCTACGCTTTTTGAAGTATAGCTACTATACAGCTTCTAAGCTGCTGATAAAAATAACCAACTGTATTGACGTGTGTTTGTGACATAAAAAAAAAATTGTGTTTTGGCTTAATAAACTAAATACGATGCAAGTAAGATGCAGTGTGCATCTCTATCAGTTCACTAGCTCCCCTCCCGGTGACACCGCCACTACTGGTATTTATAATTTACAGCAGAGCAGATATCTTTCTGACATTTATTTTTTTATTTTTATTTTTTTTGTTATTTAAAATACTTTCACTTATCCTGCAACATTTCATCTGTAAATGTATTTTAAAAGTTAGCTACATTAGGTAGCCTAAATAACCTGTCTTGATAAATTTTTATGGAAAAACATGTTTTTTGTAAAAAAAACAAACAAAAAAAAAAAAAAACCCATATGATTTGTTTTGTGCTTCAGATTAAGTGAGCATCAATGCTTGCTGGTTTTCATGGTGCATTGTGGGACTTTTTAGGGATCAAAAGTTTCAGTTCACTGAAAGAATTCTGTAATTTAGACGGGCCTTAAAATGGCCAACTTCCTGATCAGTGACCTGATTACTAAACTAAGGAGCTGATTGAGTTGTAAAGAGTTACCTACACTAAATATGAACTAAATAAAATAGTTTAACTATTAAAAAGACCTTAAACAACTATTCAGCCTTCTAAAAAACAAACAACAACAAAAAAACATCAAGCACAACAAAAATGCTTAAACCGGCCTAATTTTCTCATCTCCCAATCTGGTATTGGATGGGTTCAGAGTGATTTTAGCCACATTTCACTGGTCAGGCTTTGAGATCAGCATAACCTAGCTTGATCTTTTTTGTCTGGGTAGAGTTTTGTTGTGCTGCACCTGCACTGCTAGTCTGCTAATAAAAACTAGCTTTTTACTAGAAAGTCTATACTATTTGAAACCCGCTTAAGTATAGTTTTAAGTTTTTTCCTTAAGTTTTAAATATGATTCCTATGAAGGATGTAAAAAAAAATGCATCAGTGATTTATTCATGTTTGGAAGATAATGCCAACATAAACATTATGAAAAAAATGTCAGTGGTTTAATTCTACTAATGTCTGTCTGTTTAGGTTAATAGCGACACCGTTTGCAGCTTTGTTTGGTGTTTCAGAGAAGACTGGATACAAAGTGGAGCACAATGCTGTTCTTGAACATTATTTCAATACAAAGTCAAAAAACCCAAGACAGGTAACGTCTTCTCCTCTCACTTAACAACATATCATTCTGAACTTCAAATCCTCATGAAATTTAAAGTGGCTTGTGGCTTGATCACGGGGGAGCGTCACTGTTTAAGACATCTTTTAAGGCAAGATTCTCTAGCTTTTTTGGAAACTTGAATTGACCTCGGTTCCATCCAGATCACCTGATTTTTAGATTTAGGTTTTTAGTTTTCCATTTTTTTCACCCATATATACAAATTACATTTTACTATATTTAATATTTAGATTTAATTGTTTTTTTTATTATTGATTTATAAATCAAAAATTAATTATTAGACTAAACTCTCAACCCAGACCAAAACTTGATGCCTTCATGTAATAGTCTGACTGGATGCGTTTGATATATATATATATATATATATATATATATATATTCCTTATATTTATTTTTATATCTTAGAATAATTATTTAATTATACACCCTTAAAATGTATTATTTTTCAAGTGTTTATGTAAATCTGAGTATTTATTGGTCAAATAAAGCCATAATTACTACACCACTTTTCATAATCAAAACGGCACATTTCTGCAGGAGATGTTTGCAGTGCAACACTGATCTCCTCCATCTTTTATTAGGCAGATATAGATGGTCTGTGTAAAAAATGCAGCTGGTCAAGTAGACAAGTGGAGCGCTGGTTCAGGAGGAGACGAAACCAGGACCGTCCTAGTGTTCTGAAAAAATTCAGAGAGGCCAGGTATGAAATAAATACATATACGCTTTTTTGACTTGCCACATAGCTGTCTGGAATACTTGATAGTGATTGGTCAAATGCTGCATTCTTTTGTCAAATATTGTCGTATAATGACGATAAACTAGTGTTCTAGCAGTCTTCAAGCAGTGCGCTAGAAATGGCAACATAAGTTTTAAAATGAACTGAAAACCTTGAATGCAAGGCTTCAATAATAATAATAATAATAATGCTAAATGTGTAAATGTAAGCAGTCTAATTTGCTGCAGCTGTCATTTACCCCAAAACCAAATGGTTACTGACTTGTTGCTGTGTGCTTCCACTTCCAGACTATTGTTGATTAGTGTTTTTGATCTGAATGTAATCCCTGATCACATGAGCGTTCCTCTCTGTTGGGTTGTCTCTATAGTTGGCGATTGGTGTTTTATGTGGGGACGTTCACTGGTGGAGTCATAGCCCTGTATGATGTAAGTTTATCATTTTCTTATGGTTTTCCTTAAAATTGCATATCTGAAGTAAGACATCTATGAAAAATGTGCTTGTTTTCCTGTACTGATGATTGACATGATTAGGCTGTCTCTATGATACGCTCGGGGGGTTAGAGATCTAATGTGCGTGTGAAGCTTCTGACAGATGAGCCCTGTGGTGAATTCAGACCGATTTGAAACGCACTACAGTATAGGCAGCATCATACAAATGCCCCCATTATACTCAACAAAATCCTATTTTTGTTTTCAAAAATGATTTTAACCTGAGAACACTCACAGTTTCTGTATAATTATTATAATGACAACCTAATAACTTTGTTTTGGTTAGCTTTTTTTTGGCAAGCATGTCAAAAAATGAGCCTGTCAGATTTCACTCCCCTTCTGACATAGGAAGGGGATCCTATTATAATATTCCTGCGACTTAATCTGGACGTTACCACCCACGGCGCTCACGTTTGTTTTTTGCAAGCGACAACAATGTAACCAGTTCTAACACAATGGCAAAAGTTCGAGCTAAGCATGCAAACTGTTTTGTTGTTGGCTCCACACACAGACAAGCACAAAACGCTATTTGGATTCCCAGCCTCAGATGAGACGAGAGCATGGGATTCATTTTATTTTCAATGGAAATCCCTCAGAAACCGATGAATCAGTTTAACTCCACAAGAACTATAAATGGATCCACTAACCATTCAGAAACGTCCATGTGCGTCTAGAGGTTGCACATGTAAAGGATCAACAGTCCTCTGGATGGGGGTGGGGTTCATCTGTTCATTTGCATTTAAAGGGACACACAGCGTTTCTGCTTACACCCAAAAAGGAGAAATTTGACAAGCTATAATAAATGAATAGAGCTGAGATTTCATTTATATTACAGCTTGTGAAAAGGGAGATGTAATATATATATATATATGAAGAGTTCAGATGCAAAAGCCTCTAAATGCCATTTGAAATTTTCTTCTAGAATGGTCATTTTTATCAAGCTTGTATATTTAAGTTCAGTAATTTCACTTAAATGGCAATTAATAGGTAATCTTCATTGCCATTTAAGTGAAATTACTGAACTTAAATATACAAGCTTGATAAAAAATGATCATTTTAGAAGAAAATTTCAAATGGCACTTAAAGCCTCTAAATGCCATTTGAAATTTTCTTCTTTAATGATGATTTTTATCAAACTTGTATATTTAAGTTCAGTAATTTCACTTAAATAACAATTAACAGGTAATCATCATTGCCATTTAAGTGAAATGACTGAACTTAAATATACAAGCTTGATAAAAACGAGAGAGAGAGAGAGAGAGAGAGAGAGAGAGAGAGAGAGAGAGAGAGAGAGAGAGAGAGAGAGAGAGAGAGAGAGAGAGAGAGAGAGAGAGAGAGAGAGAGAGAGAGAGAGAGAGAGAGAGATGTATATTCATTAAAAATGCTCATGGTGTTTTACTTTATTAAAATGCAATGGCTTCCTCACAGTTGTTGAGAGGACAACTCAAAATAATAAATATCTTGATATTTATTATTTAGCTCTTTTTAAAGTTAATCTTATTTAACTATAATCTTATTTAATATCATTTTAAGTCATATAGCCCCCTGGTTGAGAAACACAACATTATCGGGTTTCGTTTGGTGATTGCGTTTGGAACAGTTTTTGTGTTCGTATAATGCCAGTATAATGCTGTTTTAGAACAAAGTCACATTGCAGCTCTTGACACTGTCATTAATAAATAGATGAAAAGCTAATTTTTCATGTCAGACAGTAAAGTTTTAAGTTCGTTTAGAAGAAAACATTTCCATTTTGTCCTTTTATTGATTCAGAATTTTTATTGATTCTTCTATTTCTCACAGAAACCCTGGTTTTATAATTTGCGGGAGGTATGGATTGGTTATCCCAAACAGGTATGTTCCAGACTTCAGATCTTTAATTTGCTTGTATTTGCTCCAAAGAATATTTTATTGTTCATTTTATCTGCACTAATAAGAGCAGACGAGATTTTGCTCACTTTGACCCCGGCCCCGATAAAGTGTTCATGCAATGCTCAAATTTACGGCATGGCTAATAAAAAAGGCAGATAATAATGCTCATGCATCATAGTCACATGTTCCAAATCAAACATGGCCATATTTAGAAGAAAGATGTTTTTTTGTTGGCCCAGCTGAAGAGTTTTTTTGGAACCGTTCACTTGTTATCGGAGTTCCAGGTTGTAATCAAAAGAACAGTGATGTCATCCAGATTGGCACTCAAAACATTGAGTTTCCAAGAATAATCGCTCAAAAAAGGGCCCTCTACAAAGCACAATGAATGAAATACATACATTTCACTTTGAATTATATCTCTGATCAATCAAAAGAGTCTTTTACATTTTCCGTCATAAATCTAACACTGGTTATCCCTTGTTATTGTGCATCATTGTTCTTATAACAACTCTTATTGTTGTTTTCGCTTTTGCAGTCCATGCTGGAGTCACAGTATTGGTATTATATTGTGGAGATGAGTTTCTATTTGTCGCTAGTGCTCAGAATAACATTCGATGTCAAACGAAAGGTCAGTATCATGTGATCTTATTCCGCATAATTATACCCTTACATTTTAACTACTTGAAATCTTTCAAATTAAACTTTAAATTATGTCTTGCCTGAGCCTAACCATTTATCACATGACCTGGAATAAACATCTGATCATTATTTAAAAAAAAAAAAATAGACGCACAGTGCAAGCTATTGTAATCTATTATTTAAAACTAGATTGATTTGTTGTTGTTTTTATTTCAGATACAGATCTCATCTAACAGCACATCTAATTTTTTCACTGTCACAGAGAATTACTGTGAACTCTTTTTTTGTAAATGTATTTCTATATTTTAGGACTTTAAAGAACAGATCATCCATCATTGGGCCACACTGACTCTCTTGGCTTTCTCCTGGTGTGCAAACTACATCCGGGTCGGGACCCTGGTCATGCTCATTCACGATTCTTCTGACATTCTTCTGGAGGTTAATGACCAATCTTATTTTATTTGATTACTCTCTCTTTTTTTTAGGCGGATTTTGATTAAAGATCAGGAGGGCACATGAACTAAAAAAAATGATGTGCATGGATAAATCTTTTTTGTGTGTGTATTATTTCTCTGCAGTCCGCTAAGATCTTCAACTATGCCAAATGGGAAAAAACGTGCAACAGCATCTTTGTGGTATTTGCTGCTATCTTCATAATCACGCGACTCATAATCTTTCCATTTTGGTGAGAATTTTTATTATTTACATCTTTAAGTTCTTATAAGGAGTCTCAGGCATAGTTTACATAACTTATACTATGAAAAGTTGTAAAAATCTCTGTTGTCTCATGTATTTTTAATACCAGGATCATTCACTGCACATGGGTTTACCCGCTTGACTATTACCCACCATTCTTTGGATACTACTTTTTTAACTTCATGCTTGTCGTCCTGTTGATGCTCCACATATTCTGGGCATATCTGATTCTACGTATGGTGAAGATGTTCCTTTTCGGAAGTGTAAGTTGATCTACATTTACATTTGGGAAGGTTTTATTTGTTTAAATTCACGCTCATGAAATATAGATTTGTTAAGTATACTTTATTACTAAAATATGAAGAAATATAAGTATTCATATATTTGGAAATTCATTTTGGGTAGACATATTTAGAGATTTCTCAATGTACATTTGGAAACCCTGGTTTTAAAGGTTTTTTTTTTTTTTTTAAATCCAAATTTATGCAATTAATAACATTGATTTGACAAATAAACCACTGTATGTGATTTGTGTTTATTTGCTTGTGCATATGTGTAATGTTGTGACATGAACCTGTCTTGGATCTTCTAAAACATGGTAGGCAAGGCAAGGCAAGGCCTTGAATTGGTTGAGGCAGATTATGATCATTGTCTGTTGCTAAACAACTCGCCATGACATTTTGGCACTTTATACCTTTGCCACTGCAGTTTGTTGCAGATCTTTATAACCCAGGGTTAAAAGCATCACTAACCCCTTTCAAAATTACAACTGAGAAACATTGCTTTACCCAGGGTTAAAAAGACATTAACCTGGGGTTAAGTGTTGCGTCAAAAGCCCTGAATACATATTATAATTATAATTTATAAAACGGTTCCAGGCGCAGGAGATCTGAATGACTCCTAAATAATAGTAAAACAAGTAATGAGGTGCATCTATGCAGTCCGTAGGCTATGTGTCACTAACACATACCATTAACCACCCTCGGCTTGTTGTCAATCATCTCAACTGACAGAACTGAAACCTTAACAAGTCATAAAACGGGCATATATGCTCTGACCTGCATGTGGACGGACTGTTTTATTTTATGAGTTCCTGACTAAAGCTGTTTTGAACAAAAGTTTTCTGTTGTCTTGTGAGCTGGTACAGTTTCAGCGATGACACGATTTTCATTTATTGTCAAACTTAAATGTCCTATTGTGATTTGTTATTGCATAATTTCTTCTGGCTTTTCTGGTCAATCCCATAATGCCGGTTATACCAGTGTTGGTTGGTACATCCCAAGAACACAATTGTACTTGCGTATGCTCCATTTAATCTTTAAGTTCTGGGTGAGGGCCAATAGAGATTACCACGGCCGTTAAATATAGTTGTCTCCAGTTTGTCAGTTTGGTAATCGAGAGTGACGATGATTTTTCAGTTGTAAAATGCAGTGGATATTAAACCCATGTAGCGTATATTAGTACATACTAGTGAAATATAACAAACACCGGGATAGGTAGTGTTATACTTAACAACAGATGAGTTTTTAGTCACAATTCTATCTCAGAGGTATACATCCCTGCATGTTGTAGTCATGGCATGTGAATCTTCTGTACAAGCAAGTAATTTTGGGCCAGTGCTCCCTGTTGGATCTTGTAGGAAACCTTAATTAATGTGTAGCAAAGGCCTATGCATTTATTGTCATTGTGCATGAATTATACTCCAAACACAAATGATGACACAAGCTTGTAACGGTGACCGAGTTATCCAGGTCTGCGCCGTTGTTCTGTTTTTTTTCTCCCCCCATTACACTCGCTTTCTGATTGAAATAAGCCCTGCCAGCCCGTGTTTAGTGCTCCATTGTTTTCACTCCAGCTCAGTCTATTGAAAAAGGTGAGTCATAATTTGAGAGTGATTGCACTGGCAGGCGTACATGATCTCTCGCAAATGCAGAGCGGATGAGGGATGCCAGATTCAATCGCTTCTCTGCTCTGTGTACCTGCAGCCTGTTGCTCGAAGGGACCCTCTGTAATTATTCGTGATTTAGTGCACATCAGACTGTTCGGATTCATTTACTATGGATGATGGATTGTGTACTTGCTCGTCTGGTTTCTACAAACAGCTCGTTAGGTTAATGTTTCAAGACCGGCTGTATTTTCAGATTTCAGACGATGTGGTTTTCATTTTGGTTTTTGCAAGGAGATCAGCTTGCTTATTGTTTGATTTTCAAATCATTTCTAAGCTAAGGATCAATAAACTAATGGAACAGTCCTTGCACTTCCAGGCAGGTTTGAAATCCTTATGCTCATATATAAGGCACCGCATGGTCTGGCCCCCATGTAACTTTATAAATATAACTTTATATATTTCTTAGCGTCATTTGCGCTCTCCTCAGCCTGTGATCTGTAGGGGACAGGGCTTTCTCTTCCTTTCTTTTCTCTTCCTAAAAAAAACTATTTTTTTTTTTTAGGTTAGCTTTTTCTGGATGGTTTTAACTATTTTGTATTCCAGGGTGTTTTTTGAACGCTTTATATTTCTGTTTTTTTTTTTCTTATATTTTTTGTTTAATGTGCTCTGTGAAGCTGCTTTAAAAGCCATATATAAAATAAAGTTTATTATTACTATATGCAACATCATCAACAGCAAAGCATTCATCAACCTCTGTTAATGATAACGTTTATTAAATCAAAAGTCGGATCTGTTAGTGTTACTTATTAAACTGTGGCATGTAGAAACTACTCAGACCACATAGCAACACCCTGGCAACCACACACAACAACCTCTATATATTGGGTTTCTATATATTTATATATTTACTCAATTCCAAAGAACCTTTTATGCTAAAAAGGGTTCTATAATGACAAGAAAGAACCCTTTTGGTTCAAAGGTTCTTTATAGGCTATTATTCATTCATGCATTACTCTGCACAGTCTGCAGCATTTTGTAGTTGCAATTAAATTATTGTTTATTAAAGAGAAAAACTGAAATGGTACTCTTCATGTGATATTGATTAACTACATAAAATTATACAAATATATACATTTTATAACCCCTATATCTGGAATTTTGTGTTCATTCACATGCATTCATAAATGCATTTTAGGGTCTTGATGTTTTTCAATAATATGAAATATTTAATCCGGAAAGGACAAAACAAATGATAATGAATGAACCCCAAAGGTTCCATATTGAAACTTTTTCCTGGTTCGAAAGGACCCTAAAGGTTTCTTATTATTGAACCTATAAAAAAGGTTCTGTATACCATTTAGGGGTTCCAAATACGTAGCGCTGATACAACCTTTTAAGGTTGTATATAGAACCTTTTCTTCTAAGAGTGTAGGATAGTTTTGCATGGTTAAACACCACTCAAATTTTCTTTCTAAAATTTGTTTTAGAAATAAAGGAGTGTTCGATGTTGTTCACTATAAATTATTATTATTTAAAAAATTTCTCAAAATGCATCTTTTCATAGTTAACCAAAGATGAGAGAAGTGACAATGAAGAAGACGAGGAAGAGGATGGTGAAACCAGTGTGGCCGAGGACAATGACGGACATGTGAAAGTGACCAATGGCTGTGGTGGAGGCGGAGCTAATCATCACTGACGCATCTTTCCTTATACTGTGAATGACTTTGAATTGGCCTCAGGGATGTGAGGAGCCAAAAACATAATTTGGATTTATTTCCACACATAATATGCCAGAGACCTGTCAAAACAAATTGCATCTTTTAATAACACTTTAAAAACCCTTTCCCCCCCCTGCGCTCGGCTTCACTGGATGCGAGGCGCTGTGTCTTGGCTGCTTTAAACCTATTTTACCCCCTTTCGACTAAGAACTTTTTTATTGTGGCACAGGATCACATGGGTAATTATGAAAGAACACCATGCACACAAAGCAAAAGAAACCCCCTGTAAGATTTAATAGACTGCTCATTGTTTTTGAAGCTCAAGGATCACGTCACACTGGCTGCTCTCGCCGCCTGGCATCTTCCTTCGAGGCTTCATCTGCCGTGCTGCTGAGTTTTACATAAACCTCTCCCTCTATAAAGAACTGAAATGAACGAGTGAGTTTGGAGAATAACATCTACCCTTGTAACACTTTAACCTCTGGACACTGGAGCAGGGGCTTGGTGTACACTCAGCTGATGTTTTCTTTTAGTTCTTAACTTCTTTTACTGTGTCTATTTGGGATGTGTCCACCATATTGTGGATTATTGGTGTTCACACTACAGTAACATATTTTTGTCAGTGCAATTTATTTGCATCAACTTATTGTTGGAGGTCACTGAGTCTCTCCACTGCTGGTTGAATGACTTCCAGTCAGTCAGAGGTTTTATAATTACCTCTGTGTGTAAGCCACAAAACCACAAGTGTTTAAAGTTTTCACCGTTTAACTTTAATCTTACTTGCTCCAAGTCTCAGAGTTGAAGAATTGGCTGCCTTTCAGTTCAATTTGAATTGGCCATTCAGGAAGTTGAACTGGAATGGCAGGAAGAGGAATTTATTAAATTGTAATTTTAAAGAAGTGTGAAATATGTTTCACTCTGGTTCGCACAATCTAATTTATTAAATATGCAAATTAAATTCATATATATGAAATATACAAACTAAATGCAAATTTGAAAGCATTCCATCCATCCATCCATCAAAAAGTTTTGATGCTCTGCAGGGGTTTAGTGTAGACATATTTTCACAAAATAATATGTATTTGACTTAAAACTACCCAAGTATATCTGAATGCTGTAAGTGTTAAATTTTGAGATTTAATATGTTTTATGTCTTATTGACATTTATGAACTGGTTGAATATTCACATCTGCAGTGAGTGACTGATTTGGTGTGTGTTTTAGGCTATTTAATTAGTTGATATGTGTATGAGAGAATGACAAAGAAAGAACTGAGATGAATGAGTTCAGGCCTGTATGACAAATGTATGTGTGTGTATGACAAATCATTTTTGTTTCTCTTGGGCGATGCAAATTTATGTAGTTTTGAGAATTTATGTAGTGCATTTACTGTTTTTTACACTGAAGAGTGAAATGTTTAATTGAAGGATTTTTTTAAAATTGTTCAATTAAATTTTTATTGTAATAAAGATCTAATATTGATCTAATATTTCAGTATACAATGTTATAATGCTTAAATTGGATCTTTATTTAATGTTCATTTAAATAGAAATGTTATGATTTTTTCTCCCCTATACTTTTTTCTCCACCATACAATCCCCTAAAAAAACATACAATATGGAAGGGTCACTGCATTTGCCTCTCAAACATTTACAGAGGTCAAGAGCTTACAGAACACAGAAACAATCATAGACAGTAAAAGAAAACAATTAACAAATGTATACAAAAATATCTGTGAAACTGCTGGGGTGAAACTGCGGCTCTGCAATCAGACTCTTCTCAATGTTTACCTCGGTAGCCAGCACCAATTAACAAATAAAGGGGGATACACAGACATTTAATGGCCATTACACACAATAAACAAATATGAAAACACCCAATATACATAAAAAAACACCTCAAATAATACTATCAAATAACTTCACTTAATAAATATAATTTATAAACAAACAAAAGAAAAACAAGCAAAATAGTCCTTGGAGTTCCCCCGGTGAAGAAACCGTAATGGTTGTGGCCCGATCATCAGAACCATATATATACGTCCAATGTTTCCGCTCGAACCCCTTTGATGGTGCTCACGGAACTCAGACGTGACTTTCTCTGGACGTATCAAACAAACAAACAAACAAAAAGAACGGTAAGAATAAATTTAAACTTAACGTTAAGAGTGTGCGCACTTAACTCCAAACGAAAGTTTAAATAAAGTTTATTAAACCAAAATAACGTTGTTGTCGTGTATTCTTTACTGTAAACAAATTCCATTAAATAAAAACTCAAACTGACTTGACCCAGGCTGACCAACATCCGCCCGCATCCACCACAGTCACATAGACAGGTCTTAACAGCTTTTAGTAGTGTTCAGGAACCGTTAACTATTAACTAAATTAATATTGTTATTACTGGAAGAGTTACTGGGTAACCAGACAATTTCTCACGGTTCCCAACATGCTCAGTTGTACACGCACACACACACATGTGCAACTGTCATTGTACTGTAGCCTACATCAGCGTTACATTATCTCATCCCATCTCACCAACAGTTTAAAAAAGGGCCTCATCTTCTTTCTGATCGCATGAACGTTACGAAACAACAGACGCTTTCATAAATCAGCCGCTCATGAACCTTCTTTGTATTAAAATGTATTGTACTTTTCTTTTTTCAAATCGTCATCTTTTTGTTGGTTGTTTGTTTCAGAGGCCTCTTTATTCCAGTAATGTGCCGCCACATTTTAGCTAAAGTCCAACGCAATGGCGGACTTCGTTGAACTGTAAAAATTCTAATGAATCACTCAATTCTCATTGGCTACCTGCCAATAACAAAATTCACCCGCATTTGGCAGGTGGTCGGGTGTTAATCTCAGGCCCTGAATGTGAGTAAAGAGCAGTCAAGCAGCGTAATGGGATAATGAAACAGAATAAACCGCCTTTTAAAACTCACTCCGGCTGAACACGTTCTTTGTTTAGTGTACTGCCTGTAGAGGGAGCAGTTGACCACACTCTTGAACTCTGCAATCAAGCACACAACCTGTGCTCTACTACAGTGTCAACTCAAAATGATAACTGCTAAATCATTTTTGGTGTCACAATACTTGCTTTCATTATTGTGCTTGTGTTCGTAAACCACTGCTGTTTGGTAAAGTATATTGTAAAGTCCTTTTCAGGGATGGCTGTAAGGATCTGGGCTACCTGGAACCATGTTGTTGTCATGCAGGTAATATTTTCTTTGCTTCTCCTCCCAAACATGATTATCATTAATAGTCTTTGTTTAAGTATACATCACCAGTGTTGCTCAGTAGTTAACATTTAAAGTGGATCAAAAATGTTCATCAAAGTTATATTTTGAACAATTTGAACAACCGTTCTTGTTTTAGGCCAACTTTGATTAACTTTTTTCCTAAATGGACATATACCTAACATTGTAAGGCATGCAATTAACTTTCTATGGGATATTTTTTTTTCTCTGGTGTTCTGAATATTTGCTAGGGTGTTGGTGTTCTGGGTGGTTCAGTGATAATCAGTGCATTATTACTAGTACACTGAATTTATTTTGCTATAAATTTGGCACTCTGTGCTCAAATATCATCAAAGCACCACTGTGTCTAGCCTAGATCATTTTGCCATGACCATTGCTCATTACTGGGCACTTGGCTGTGCCAGTGGCCCCGCTATCCACAGGAAACAGTAATTCGTCAGTGGTACTTTGGCGAAGAGGAATGAGAAATCAAAGCACTTGAAATAGGATTAAAGCCTCTGCTGACCTACTCTAATGAACTTTATCCACTCACAAGTGCGCCGTTCTCAGGGTACGGACTGCTGATAAATGAGTTTTTCTATTGCTCTTACTGTTGTAAGAGAATCCACAAAATTAATGGAGAGTAGATTCTTACACCAAAGGTTTGTTCAGTGCATCTCTAGACTGCACTCAGCCTTTTGATATGATACAAATTAGTGGTGTTTTCTAAGACGACTGCATAGAAACCACATTATGCCCTAGCAACTATCCAGGACAACCTAGTAACTGCATAGCAACTCAAATGCTCCTTTGATTGTTTTAACTGTTGCACAACTTATTAACAGTTTAGTCCATAATGCTGTACAGAATCCCTTATGCACTGCATTTCATTTAAATTTATGCTTAAATAGGACATTTACTGTAAATAATGTTTTTTTTTTTCATTTTTTTAACTGAATATTAAAACAATGCGTATTGTAAAGGTCACACATGCAAAACACAAAATGCATTTTTGTGTTTAATCACATGACTTGCACACATAACTCACATAGTTTTGTCCCTTTAATATATGGGCTACAATACAATCCCAGCCCACTCTTTTATCTTTGTGTTGACAGCTATAACTTACACTCAAAACGACAATTTTCAGCTCAGTATATAATAATCATCCAGTACTTAAATCGATGCTCTCCCATAATGTTATCCAGGTCTTCACATGCTCTGTATTAGTAATAACAAATCACATCTGTTGCTTCTAAAACTGATGAGGTACAATTACAGGCAATGCCAGCATATACGCCACGGAGATGGTATCCATAAGAATTCACAATAAGTTATCTGATGACAATGTCTAACACAAAGGGATATTTTTTTTTTGTCAATCTCTTTGTCAGGACATTTTGCTTTTCTTTATCTGTGGTTTTGATTATGAAGTGAAATGCGGTTTAAAGTGATTGAAGTTGTTCTTATAATACTTGCAAATTACCCTGTGCAGACACTATTTTATGTGCCTTATTTTGACTTGAGAGGTTTCAAATTACAACGTGCACTTTTAAGATTCAATGTGGCTGGGGTTAGTTATTTAGAGCATTAGTTTTTTTGTTTAATGTAAAGTAAATGCATTTATTTACACAGTTGAAAATAGGAATTATTGAAAATATTAACTGAATAGTATCAATAATATTTCTTATTAATTTTTAGGCCCAATTCTTAATTTGACAAGTTGTGGCATCTTCTACAGTAGGCTATACCAATTAACAAGTAAGTTTACAATGGTCTATGACTATGTAAAAGAACGCAATCAGTTTATGCATTGTCCAGCTGAAAAGACCAGACAAGCAAACCACCTTAAACTGGTTTGTTTGTCTCTCAGCTGGTCAATATTAATCTGATCATCATTTTGGCAAAGTTGGGAAACCAGCAAAAAAAAATAAAAATACTACTACTACTACTACTAATAATAATAATAATATATATATATATATATATTAGCTTTAAATTAGCTTAGGCTGGTTTAAGATGTTTTTGTTCAGCAGAGAATGTGCCAAAACGGACAAATGAAAGCTTTTCTTCTTCCAATTTCTTCTTAACTGTTGGATTTAATACGTTTTATTTACCTAATAGCAACAGGCTGATTTGCCTTTCCCTCTGTTTCAATAGACGTGTGGGACAGCGTGCACTGTCCGGCCCTCTTTTCAGAATGACAGAACAAATAGCCAATGACGCTGCAGGAATATATTTACATAGATCAAATTGACGAATCCGAACGCAGTCTTTTTTTTCGGAGGCGGGGCTTTTTCCTGAAGTTCAGTTCCCCGTCTGCTTTAATTAAACTTTCTGAAACTTCGCGTCAGTCCGCTGTTGCTGTTCCGCCAGCGCACACTGCCTTCTCTCTTCACACAGACTGTTTCTCTACGAAATATTACATATAATAATGCACGCCAATGATACTCTACTGCTTTTCTTCTCTTTAATTCTCCTTTGCATTGGACTGAAGGCAATATCAGGTAAGACTGCAGCACCTGCGATACTCCTGACAGAAATTCACCATGGTTACCAGTTTTAGGCTATGTACCAATATTACTACAGCTTTAGGTGCTGGACAAAAAAATAAAATAAAAAAATAATAATAATTAACTGTTATATGGCAGAAATGACCTTTTGCTTCTGCACTATTCCCGTATTAGCTCATTATTTTGCTGTTACCCAGTCAAGATAACGGCGGAAACTGTGGTTACCATGGTAACTTTTTCGTCTGGATCATTTAACGTTTACTAACCGACGGCGACTTGTCTCCTTGACTGTTTTATATAATTTTAGAAAACTGCATATTTTTCCTGCTGCTTACAAAGGGTTTCAGTCATGTTGTTTCAATTAAGATGAAATTGTTTATCTAAGACTAAGAGCCATATAGAGCTCACCACCCAGGTTACATTTCAAGATGTTGTGTCTCAAAACCAAGTGCTCTATCTACCTAGACAGCTTTTCTGGACGTCATAATCGGAAAGAAATGATGTGACGTCACGTGCGCTCTTTTGGCAGAGTGGATGTTACATCACAGAGTGCTGAGAGTGCATGTGAGCTCATGCAACGGTTTGATGCCAAAAAGGCTGCCTGGATAGTCAGCTTACTAGAGGTCACATTCTCTGTGTAGTCAGCTGCCTAACTAGACAGTTTTTGGGGGGCATTTTAGGCACATTTTTAGACGTTTTTTTTCTCTTGATTGAGAGTGTCCATGCAACTGTATGTTGCACAAAATGCTGTATAGATAATCATCTTATTAGAGTACATAAGTCACATTCTCATGTAGGCATTTTAGATTCCATTTCAAAATAATTTAGGTATTATCTCTTGCCCGAGTGTGCACGTTGAGCTCATGCAATTGTATGATGCCCAAAAAAATACTGTCTAGGTAGGCAGCCAGAATAGTGTGTCTTCTGTGCTCCTTTGAGCTACTTTCCTAGAAAGCGTTTTTATGCATTATGGGCACACAAACTCTTTTGGCAAAGTGTTAATGTTACATCACAGAGTGCCGAGAGAGCATGTGAGCTCATGCAACTGTATGATGCACAAAAACGCTGTCTATGTAGGCAGCCTACAAGTTTTGAGTGTGTGCTTCTTATGGTTCTGTGCATTTCGTTACTTCATTTTTTTAATGAACTGTTCAGTGGTTTCTATACCCTCTATTTCCATGTTTAATGTTTTAACAACTTTATTCCCCCTTACGTGTATCATTCTTTAACTAACTGCAGACAGGCTTGTAAACTAAACTGTAACTTATAAAACTAAGCGTTTTACTGTCTTGAAGGGTTACCACAAAACTTAAAAATGTCAGGGGATTTAAAAAAAAAAATCATAGAAATTACGATAGTGAATGCAAGTGTTTCTGGTTATTCTCAGCACTAAAATGTTTAATTGCATGAAATTGAGTATAATCCTTATCCAGTAATCGGCTGGGAAGGTCCTGGAAAAGTCATGGAAATAGTTTTTTTGGGATCTCTGATGTGACTATCCACTTTGCACTGCTTTTCAAATAATGTGTTGCATGTCCTCTAGCGCAATCTGCCATGTACGAGACAGATGTGGTCGTTCCGCAGGAGCTGCGGTCAGACGAGGTGCACCTGCTCCAGGGAACCTACAGGTGGAGCAGAGGTCGCAGACGACGTTCGGACCATCAGCAGGAGGACCACCTGTTTCTACGGCTGCCTGCTTTCGGAAAAGAACTCTACTTGCAGCTCCATAGAGATGACTCTTTCCTCGCCGAGGGGTTTTTGATGGAGGAGAGGAGCGAGGAGGGCAGCGTTCAACATGAACCTCTTCTAAAGGTTCGGCGGTGTTTCTATACCGGAGCCGTTCTCAATCACACTCAATCTTTCGCCTCATTGGATGCTTGTGGTGGACTGGTGAGTGGAGTTCAAGTTGTTGGGAGATTGTCTTTGCTGGAAAGGCATGAATGTGTTTGTTTCAATAACAAGAAATCTGATTTTGCTTAAAGAAAAGTCCTTTAAATTATCGTTACCATAATGCAAAAAACTCACATTCTCACCTATTATATGCATTATTTGTTTATTAAGTTTAACATTTTATTTATAACTAACCTTTTAAAAGATTGAGTTTATACTTTCATTCAGGATGCAATAAATTGATCAAAGTGACAGTAAATATATTTATAATGTTACAAAAGATTTCCATGTTGCTATTCTTTTAAACTCATAATTTATCAAACAATTCTGACATTTGTTATAATGAAAATAAATTTTTTAGTGTTTTTTAAGCATCAAATCAGCATATGATTTCTGAAGGAGCATGTGACACTTAAGACTGGAGTAATGATGCTGAAAATTCAGCTTTGACATCACAGGAATCATTTACATAAAACAATATATTAAAATAGATAATTTAAATGAATAATAATAATAATAGTTCATAGTAGGCCCCTTCTGTCTCGAAAGACAATGGCTGCGCCTTCTTTATCTTTTTCAGTCAATTTTGTTGTTGGCAACATCTGGAGTGGCTTGGACAGAATAGTTGATAATATTACAGTTTTTACTATATTTTTGATCAAATAAATGCAGTCCTGGTGAGCATAAGAGACTTTTTTCAAAAGGAAAAAAAAAACTTACCTACCCCAAACTTTCGAACAATAGTGTATCCAAAGTTTATCCAAAATAAGCAATTTTTTTATCGTTAAAAGAGTTTTATTAATTGCTTGTGCGACATTTTGATCAAAACAGACGTGAAAATCTTTTTTTGACACTACCAGTGAGTAGAGAACTAACAATATAGGTGCTTTTTAAAAAATGATAATGTAATTGTTCATATTAGAAGAAAAGATATGTGCTGAAATGTCGTGAAAATAATGTCAAAATGCATTTAATTCTTAATGGTCCTAAAAACAGGCTTCCATTTCTTTCTTATTAGCTATCTTTTGATTTTAAGTTCAAATGTGACATTGACATGTTTTTTGTGACCACACTTTGAATATGTGGTTATTTGACTTGTGGTTGTGAGCATTCCAGGCCCACCCATGGGAGAGAGGCTGTTTGTTTGAGAGAGTTTCCCTGACTTTGGTCCCATTACGATCATTCCATTCTTCAAACTTCTTTTTGCCATCAATCAAAACACCAGAAAGGGATGTGGCACTCCATTATCGCAAGCTGTCAATTAATCTGATTAGAGTGCAGGTTTATTCAGTCATCTGATTGGCTGGGGTTTGTGGTCTTACTTATTGATAAACCTCACTGATTGACAGTTCGGTTAACTGACAACTAGTTGACCACCCTGACCCATCCCTCTTTATGCTGACTATGTGGAAAATGAGCTCATAGTTACTGTAAAAGTTCTTTCCACATGTGACTTGAAGGGTCAGACATTTTTGACACCTAAAGTGAGACTGACCATGAGCAGATGTGAAGCTCTCAACGGTTTTGCAGATAAGTCGAAGATCAGCTGTGTGTTTTAACAGGCCCCATCTGACAGCTGCCAGTGACGCGAGCTGTTTTCTCGCTGCTTTGCTCACCGCAAGGAATTACAATTTGGGATTTCAAGCTATTATTTACATTTTAATTTTCAAAAGCATGAAAACTTACCAACCTCTAAACTTTTGAATGGTAGCATGCTATCCCAAATAAGCAAAATTTTAAGGTTAACTATGATTTTTTTTTTTAGCTATTTCTAGGGCCGTTTTACACGACACTGTTTTCAACTAAAAGCTTAAAACGTTTTATGCGTTTTGGCCGTTCATTTAACACAACTATGTCGTTTTGTGGCCTGAAAACTTGAAACTTTGAAACTGAAAATGGGTTTAAAAGTGCAAGTTTGTGAATTCGAAATCGTCTCTGTGTAAACTATGAAAACACAAATGTCTGAAAATGGTGACATCATGCGCATGCGTATTATGTGTTCAGTCTAAAGGCATGTTGTGTTTCTTTACAAATGCTTTTAGTACATCGTTGTTGTGTAAATGTACCCTTAGATACTTTTACATATTAATTGTTTTAAGGATATTTATAGTTACCATTTTGGATTACATTTTTCCACAGATCTTTTCCCCCCTTTTTTTCTGTCGTTTTTGCCCTTTCATCATAATAGGACAGTCAGTTGACAGGAAGCAAAGTTGGAGAGAGAGAGAGGGGGACCGGACCAGGAAAAGTCCACGATTTGGGTCTCGAACCTGGGACGTCCGAAGCGCAACTGCCCATGAGGCTATTGGTGCAGACACGGGTCCTGTTGCAATGCACTGTGGGAATCCCTACTCATTGAAGAATGCATATAATGCAACTGTTGTTTTTGTGCGAAAGAAGGTTGCTGTCTACGTAGGGAGCTCACTAGGCTTTGAAAAGAGACCTTCAGCGCAGTCTACTTCTTCTAACTTCTACTTAGTAATCTTGTTTAAACAATGGTGAAGTTTGAGAGGACCGAAACAAGGTTTTCCTGCCTGTTAATGTCATTTCGGACCATTTTTCCCGCTCTATCTCTCCTCGGAGTGTAGCCATGTGTAACTGTACTTTGTTTAACCTGGTACATGTGGGGTTTGCCTGTACATGTTGTGATGAAAGCTTATGTTTTACAGCCTCTATGGGCAACTTCCTGTCAGCACTCCCATGTTCTTTTCCTCCTCCACCCGCCTGAGGCTCTATGCACATCTGCCTCACCTCATCCATGTGCATTTTCCACTCTTTTCTCCAGCGAAGCCTCTGTTGTGCTGCTTGGATCATGCAGCGTCAATCCGGACTATTCTGCTTGACTGAACGCTGCCTCCGGATTTGATGCTGACTTTGTAGTTTTGGGAGATAAATTATTATCACATTTCACGTCTTTGTGCCCTTGAAGCCACGAGGGGTGGCACGGTCAGGTGGAGGGGAAACAAGGCTTCGTATATGGAAGATTCTCAGAGGGGCTCATGATGAATGATCCTGAGTTTGCTGTAATAGAAAGCACATCAGCTTCCTCCAGAAGGACATCATCTGAGATTCTCTATGCAATCTTAAAGGAATAGTTCACCTAAAATTAAAGTTATGTCATTATTTACTGTACATCAGCAGTTCATAGTGATCAAAAATATGAAAGTAGTCCATATCTTAATTGTCTGTTTCTCACATAAAGGTATCATGTGACTTCAGAAATATTAGTCACATGGACTCTTTTTATAGTGATTTCATGGGGTTTTTTTTTTAAAGCTTTGCCGGTGTGGCTTTGTTAAAACATGAAAAAAAAAAAGTCAAGTAAAGCCGATATTCAGGCAGTGCAGTAATATTCTGGTACATATCTTGTTTTTAGTATGTGCAGTATCTGCTAATTAAAGAAATGAAAAGTAGCTTAATTATAATTATTTGTTGCAAATTATAGAAATACAATGTTATATGTGTATGTATGTATGTACTATGTATGTGTGTGTGTATAGCCTATATATTATAACATTTTATAATAAAATTGTGAAAAAATTTAATGTAATCTATGTAATTTAAATATATTCATTGATGTATAGAAGAAACCCGAATAATACGATTTTTTTTATAAATAAAAGAATATAAAAAAATCACAAATTCTTTAACTTTTGAAAAACATGACTTTTTTTTAAATATGCTTAAAATCTTATTGAACAGTTTTCTGAACATTCTAAACATTCACAGATTGCCTCCAAAGTTACAAATTCTATCCAAAGGCTTTCTCATCTGCCGTTATTGATTGTTCCACCTCATGTGTTTTCTTGCAGACTGGCCTGGTTCAAACTGAAGAGGAAAGACTGTTCATCACGCCAGTGGGCCAGGCTGCGGATTCCTTCTCTGGCTGGGAACACAGAGTGATCCGGGAAATACATTCTTCATCGGATGGACCTGCTACTGCTGCAGACAGCAGCCCGAAATATTGCCAAACCATCCAAGGTGAGACATCCCTGCACTGAAATGTGGAGGGCTTAACCGTGTCAAGTGTGGCAAGCTCAATTGATTTAGAGGTCATTTTAGTTCAGTTCGTAGCTTCACAGTGATTTAATTTTGTCAAACTGTGGGTGCTAGTGGGAAAAGTGGTGTATTTATGCAGTCAGTTACACTGCTGTGGAATAAATGCCCAGTTTAACACCTTTTTCACCCAGAGACCTTTACGATTTCTATGTGCTACATGTATACTGGTGTTTCTAAAGTCGATTTACAAGCACACAGATTCTAGGTTGACTATCAAGTGATGACCCATGGTTCAAATTTGTTCATCATAAACTAAAAACCTTTTAAATGTTCTTACAAGTGACAGATAAAATACTGTACATTCTTATTGGACATATATCATTTGACATCATTTTGAAAAGTGGATTTATTTCACTCTCCTAACTCTGCACAATTATATGTTTAGTTGCATTTTATTATTTGCATTCAGCATTGCTCTGTAGAAACAAACCTGTGAATCTCTTTTGGGTCACCAGTGGTGAACCACTGCGCTCTAGGAGTCTGTTATCATAATCTCACGCTCAGGTTCTCATGTGTCTCCCATCTTCCTCTTCCCTCCAGGACCGCTTAAGATTCAAGAGTTGTCAAGTCTGTAAATCAAGTGTTTCATAGAAACCTTTATGACTCCATGTAACTCTTTGATGTCTTCATCTTCGTAGCAGCGTCGAAAGATATTGGGAGAGAGAAAGCTCCGCTGTTTTGCTCTTTAATGCCTTTATCGCACTGGTAAATGGTGGTAAACTCCTGTTGGAACGTGCTGCTTTGCTGTTGAAATACTACCAGTAAGAAAGCAAGTATTCTGTTGGCCTGCTCGCGTACATTAATAATACCGTGCATATTTTCCAGCCCCTTGGGTTTTTCTTTGCCAGGATTATGGATTTTTCTTGCTGAAAGGAATTCGCATGTTTGAAAACGACCTCTTCTGTTCCCTCTGTTTCTCTGAATGCCTCCAGCATCTGCAGGTTTTCATATTCCGAGGCAGGAAGTTTTGTCTAAGCATATTGCATTATTGGATTTGTAGTTTACCCTTTGAAATGAAGATGCAATTATCCCAAAATCTGGGTATGTGTGTCCATGTGTGTGGATATATACAATCCTATGGGCCAACAAAAACAATTTATGGAATTTCCAGTTGTACGCTACCCTAGTTCGTGGCTGATTACATTAGATCCAGACTTAAAGTCCCCTTGAACTTTTTGCTTGGTTCAACATCGTTCAAGTCCACTGTTTTTGCTTTTGACTTTGTGTACTATGAATATTACATAACCCGAGGATGAGGAGACCACCGGCAGACTTGACAAGTAGATTTTTTCCATATGCCAGTATCTGGAAACCAGTTCATATAGGGGAAAAACTGATAGTTGAAAATGAAAGGAAGGTTGGTGGGTATGCAAGGGTTTTGATATGTGGGTGCATTTGTGTGTTTCAGGCACTCTAGCAATCTTGTCTCTGCTGTAAAAAAAAAGCTCCAGGTGCATTAGCGATGCGGTTTCCCCCAGCACCTGGTGTCTGCAAGTCTGTCAGTCAGTCAGGCGATAGACCAATAGGCAAAAAAAGTGCCAGATTTGGGGGGAAAATTCTTTCCTCTGCACTCATGTCTGTCGGAGGCCTTTCAGCTGGCCTGCCAGAGTCTTCTCTCTCATTTCCCACCAGAGTTTGGGAAGCTGCTTCGAAACCTAAGCTTGCCAAGCTACAAGCTGCTCATAATTTAAGGTAGTTCAGATACAGTCAGGTTAGCCTTTTGATAAAGTAGTCTGTTCCACATCCGCCATGATTTTCAGTAAAATGTGTTCATAAAGTGGTAAAAACTTAACTGATGTTATTCTCATGTGATTGACATTTGACTTTGCCAATGGCATTTTATCTAAAGAAATAGATCAATTACGTATTATTGTGATTGGAAAATGCATCACTATTATTTTGTGTAATGCTTTTATTGAAGGGAATTTTTCATATTTATTTTAGTAATTTTAGAATCATATTTACTGAAAACTGTCCAAACAGATCCTCCTTAGACTTACAGTAGAAAGAAGCAAACGTTTGTGTGATAATTGACGACCACAGTTGCTAAGAGCAGTAATAATGTATAATGTATAAAAAAATACGTGCTTGTCCTTCGGGAAAGAAAATCAGTCATTCACTTGTCCTAGTTGCTTGCCTGGAAAAAAACAGGATTTTTTTTTGTGGTGTAGTGTAAATAATTTTTTTTCTGAAGCAAAATTCTCATTTGTGTTCTATCAGCTTTTGTGATATTTACCCCAAGACATTTTCCCCTAATCTTTTTTTTTAATGTATGCTTTATCTTTCATTTCAAATTCTTAAATTTGAGAAAATACATTTATTTAGAATTAAAAGACACTATAGGGCTGGTACCAATCAAAATAAATAATCTACAATGAAAAATGACAACTGCATTAAATGATGTCATGAGATTGATATTTTTTGAATATACAAATAAAAAATATTGGGGAAAGAATTATACTTTTAAACATAAAACTAAACCACCAGTTGGTGCCAGCAAGTGACCGTCTTAATGAGTGAATCATTGAGTCATTTAGACAATTTGTTTAGATGGCTTATGCATTCAAGAATGAGGCAGTTGTTTATGAATGGGTCATTGAATCTTTGACTCAACCAATTTGTTCAAAACGCTGAATCATTCGGTAATGAAACAAGGGTGAGGTCTGCTTTGAGATGTGCTATGGTTCTGCTGTGATCTTTGTTTTGAACTATTTTCGCTGCTGAAATAGAAAAAAAAAAGTCAATATTGCATCTAAAATGTTAGTACTAATGTAATGTAAAGTACCTTTTATTGAAAGAAAGTTAGTGTCACATTTTCAATCATGATTCTATTCAGGAAGAGAGCACTCTTGGTCATATGATGTTGCTTAACTGTATCATATGTTATAAATATAAAACTCCACATTTAGATTTTTTTTTTTACCACAGTATGTTAACTGAGTGTGTGCTGCACTGCACTTGTTTCGAAGGCCGATTGGGTCACCACTGAGCGACAAAGTCTCCTTCCTTGAAAGGGACTTCAAATATGGCTTTCGTTTCCCCTGCAATGAAGGTAACAACAGATCCATCCTTTGAAGGATGCAGCCTCTGAATTTGGACGCTACTTATGAATTGTTTCTATATGAATGAACCGTTAAAATGAACTAACTGCTAAAATGAATCAGACGTTTCAGTGCTATTTCAGTGAGAGAGAGATTTTCTTTACTTCATCTCATCAGTGCTCAACAATGACTACGTTTACATGCAGCCAATTTCCAGGTTATGGTCGGGTTAAGGTCACTATTCGGGTTTCTGAAACATTAGGAATAACCCGTTTACATCCGTTTACAATATACATGGGTATGCAATATCCCGATGTAAACAGCGATGCGCGGTTAGCGTCTAGACGCACGGACAACCTTAAGACGCCTTATTTCCGATTCTTCTTCCTGTATCCAAAGACAACAACAACAACAGCAGCAGCACGTGGATAATGAATAGTACGGGGCAGATAGCGATCGCCTTTGTTTGCGCTTTGATGCTGGTAACGTTACTCCAAAAGTATGCTGTGCTGTGTCTTGTCTGGATTTTTGTATGCGCCGAGAAGTTTTTCTACTCAAAAGACCAAGATTCCTTGCGAATAGAACATGTGCAGAACACATCACTATGCTGATGAGCGTTTACATGACCAAAAATTCGGGTTAGAAAAGGGGTACCCCAGGTATAATATCCCGGTTTTTAAAATCCGGGATATGAGCATATTCGGGTGTATTTTTGCTGGTGTTTAGTTTACATGGCTGTTCGTGACTGGGTTATTGCCAATATCCCGGTTTTGAACGGGTTATTGACTGCATGTAAACATAGTCAATGTGATGCAAAAAATGTTTTTGGAAGAAAAAAGGCATTTTGTTGCACTGCACTGCTGCTTGTTGAAAAAGAAAATAGCTAGATGTTTTTTAGTTGTTACTAGTATTTTGAAAACAGAAGTACTGTCACTAGTGCTGTAGCGGCGCGTCAATGACGTCGATGATTCGACGTGAAAATTGCGTCGACGTCATATTTTTGCGTTGACGCTTCTTTATTTATTTATTTTTTGCATGTTCCCGGCGGTACAGCTTGCCACACACACGTGGGAGACCGAAACATTGCAGAATAGAGGACGAAGACAACTAGAAGTGAATGTGTTATCCATTAAATGAATCACACACAGTAAACAAACCCTTAAGAAAAAAAAAAAAATGCAATTTAGATGCGCAAACTGGGTGCAGGTGTGGTGAGACGTACAAGCTCGCGCAGATTCGGCTTGAAGTTGTTCCTGGACGCGGCGCCGGGCGCGCTGTTACAAAAAACGTACACACAGCCAGCCACAGTCTTCCTGGTCTTGCGCACCCAACGCGTCATTTTTGCCGTGCGCACATTCGCGCTCGTGCGGACGTGTCGAGTATAAACAAGGCTTTACTCCGCGTCAGCACGTGCTCTGATCAGTAGGTGAACTCCGCCTCCGACTCCGTTTCCCTCCTCAGCTGATATTAATATTTAAACATTCTCTATGATAAAAAATGTTTGTAAAAAATATTTTAATAGCACGGTTTTGGCGGTTGTAGAGTTATAATGATGGTGTTCAAATACATAACATTAGACTAACGTTAGCCAGCTTATAGTATCTTGATTCAGTATGCTAGTATTCATTTGAGATTTTGTTTTTTTTATTAATTGAGCAGCAGAAAAAAATATTCTTTATATTAGTCGTCCAATTAGTCATTAGATTAGTCGACTAATCGATAAAATAATCGCCCAACTAATCGTTTAGTTAATAATCGTTTACCCCAGCCCTAACTGTCTCGCAACTGAAAATCTACTATTCACGCCACAACATTTAGTTAGTTTCTCCCCAAGATTACCGTTGTCTCTTCCTGTTTAAAAGCTCAAAACAGTTAAGTGAG